ATTGTTAATTTTCATAGTTGTGTAGTTAGAAACACGCTTAACTTATCAAAACTGTATACTTTACCATTTTCTTACTGTATCCAAATATGTAATTAAACAAACAAATTTCGCATTTTCCAGATCATTACAAAAATGTGACAATAATATTCTCAACCGTATGTCTACCTAGTTTTAATAGGGCGGCTACCTAGTCCATTGAAATGTTACAGTTTTTTGGGCTTAGCGTGCGTTTGTCAGAGGACGCAATTTTATTTTTTAATATCAAGAAGGACTTAGTCTAGTTAAATCCAAGTTTGTGGGGTTGTAGCCCTTGTCCCGCGGCCGCCATCTTGAAAAAAGGGGTGCAAATGGTTTTTATGGTTTATCTGACACCCTATTGGTCTCACAAAAAATTTGTTCAGACATTTTTGATTAAGAATAAAATTCTCTAAAACTTTGGTTCAGTAACTTTTAGTCGTATAACCAGAAGTAACAAAGTTATAAACGAAAATTGATGAACATTTTGTAAAAAATTTTCAATTGGTCGTTATAACTTTTTTTCTGGTCATTTTACAAAAAAATTACATCAGGCCATTTTTATAGAGGAGTTTTCAAGGAGTAATTTTCATTACAAACTTTTTCGATTTTATTCATTCATTAATATTTTATAGCGCTTCAGTGTTAAACTATAAATAAATATGAATGATTTTAACGTACCTTTCTAATGTTCTAAATGACATAATTACTGTTTCCTTAGTCTTTTTGATGGACCAGGCTGCGTTGGAATTGAAAACAAGTTAAATGTACTTACTCTTTGTCACTGATTTGGCGAATCGTTTGTATCTAATGCTGTTAAAAGAATCATCATCTTTATTGCCACCATATAAAAAGATGAAAAAATTTTCACCAATGACAGTGAGCAAAGCAGGATCGATTCTCTTATTGAGGAACAACGCTATTCCACTTGCTAAGTCTGGATCTTTATCCAGGGTTATGAGAAATTTTAGTTTGCCAATGTTGTGTTGTGAGCTGCTGATGTTGTGTTACGTTCTGAAAAAGCATGGGGAAACAGCAAATTATCCGCAATGACGTTTTTGTGCATAAAACCTGACGGAGAATACAATTGCTCGGCTGTACGTCCTTTTCACGGTTTAAAAAAATATATTTCTTTGCCCCAAAAGCCGTGAGCAACACAAGTATGTTGATATCTTCAGCTACAATAGTAACTGAGTCAAACGATTGGGATGCAGCAAAAGCAGAACGAACGATGAAGGGTGTCTGCATCTGATTGTACTTGGTCCACAGTGAAACCCACCTCTGAGAATGAATTTTTGAGAAGTACAATGAAATTAGCCTTGTTCTTCTCATTGCCAAGAAATTTCTCGTGTGATAACGTCGGTACGTTAACTTGGCCCCCCACTGAAAGATTTGATAGCCGTATTATTTTAAAATGAATGCGCTCGTTATGCGCTCATATGCGCCACTGATAATAACTCTTGCGCCATTATCGTTTTTTAGAAATCCGAAAAAACATTTGGGGGCCAAACTTTACGTGGGAAACCAAACTCTACTATATCCAATATGTCTAAATCATCTTCTATGAAAGATTCTTCAACAACATCCATAATTTATCAAAATTTATGACACCACAGAAAGAAAATCAAAATAAAGATACTGGTGGTATTTACTATAACCTACAAATTATGACATACTCGTACTAATCAGACCTTTAAACGCCCAAAATTGGATGTTTAGATTAAACATATAGTAGGGGAGCTAGCACGAAATCCACTGAACGAGAATGATCAAAATTTTAACCGATGGAGTTCCATTTTGCCCTATCAGAGTATGCTAAAATCGATCGTCTGCCGCCTCAGGTCATACGACTTAAGGCGCTGCGGGTACTTCTTGCGGTACCAATTCTGAAAGATGGTTTTTCGAGAAAATAAGTTATACACCAAATGAAAACGTTGATAATAGCTCTTAAAAAAATATTTAAAAAAATCGCGCGCATTTGATAACTACATAAAAAAACAATTCTTAGTCGGTTTTTCACAAACTTTCTGCGGATATAACTAGGTTACGGTTGGACGAATGAAGCTGATTTTTTTTACAGACTGATGATAGGTACTACTAATGACTTAACGGTGTTTCGTTTTTAAATTTTTTCTCTAATTACAAGATTATCTTATTATCTTAACATTATAAGATATCTTATAATTAGAGAAAAAATTTAAAAAAGAAACACTCTCATAGTCATTGGCTGTACCTATCATTAGTCTGTAAAAAAAATCAGCTTCATTCTTCCAACGGTAACCTAGTTATATCCGTAGAAAGTTCGTGAAAAACCGACTAAGAATTGTTTTTTTACGGAGTTATCAAATGTGCGCGATTTTTTTAAATATTTTTTTAAGAGCTATTAGCAACGTTTTCATTTGGTATATAACTTATTTTCTCGAAAAACAACCTTTCAGAATTGGTACCACAAGAAGTACCCGCAGCGCCTTAAGTCGTATGACCTGAGGCGGCAGACGATCGATTTTAGCATACTCTGATAGGGCAAAATGGAACTCCATCGGTTAAGGGTGCGTTTGCACGCCATGGTGTAAGAAAAGTGAACTAAGAAGTATTTTTGAAATATTCGTTGCTTTGTGCTGCCATCCCGAATCCGCGATCCCTATTTGTACTTCGTTAGGTCGCTGACACTCGCATACATTCGTCTTGAGATAAAATTAAAAATAGTATTTTGCTTATCTTTGGTTACCACCTGTAACTGTAAATATCGTTCCGTAACTCTAAAAAGGGAATTTAGTGATCTTGCGAAATAAATTCTACCTAAAAATACTTATTTACCATAATATGCGGTTTTGTTCAGTAATTCAATTGAATGCCAATAACAGTGCCTAACTTGTAATTCCTGAAATGCCATTCAAAGTTGGGTTATGTTATGGATTATGTTTACCTGATTTTCTATTAACTGCAAAATAACAAAAAAAACCAGTACCTACCTAGGTAAGTAAAGTTGAGGATCTTTATTTTAATATAGTTCTATTAATGGATTGTTTTAGGCTATCCTTCGACTGTACACATTTCCGAAGATTGACTTCCGACACCGAGTACATTTTTTCCGATTATCATTTTACCGAACGATGTCATTGCAGTGCGTTTATATATAAGGCCATCGGTCACATCATGGTCAGAACACGATGCGGTCAATTATTGTAACCGTGTATTTCTGTACTGTTCATGTTCTGACCGTAACCTGACCGATAATAATGTGAATCGGCCTTAAGGAATACTCAGCCTTTATGATCACAAAGGACAATCCACGCAATATTTTTAGGAAAACCAGATTTGCAAGTCAGCAATACTAACTCATAATTGAATGTTATTTGTTTGGGTGTGAAATCATATTTTGATATAATACCGATAACATTGAGATCCTTCACTCAACGATTGAATTATTCAATGCCGATAGTATGTAGTTCATTCAAATTATGGGAACCAAGATGGCATCCAATCGGTGGGGTTTCGTTATTATTAATAGTGCTTAAATTTAGTTGTAAGTGACGTGTACATTTATTATCGAATAAATATATAATCTTCAGTTACTGATTTCTTGCAGAGTTGTCTGATAGCACTTCCGAGGTGTAAATACCATCGTACAAGTCGACAGTGCTATTAGATAGCAACTTGGGCGAGAGTATTCTTGCCCATAAGTAGCGCTTCGTCTGGTAAACGTAAGCAGTATTAACACTGTATTATCAATTCAGAAACACCATCCCACATAACCTCTTTTTGTTGTAAGCTCTGAAATTTTTATATTAATTAATTATAACGTAGAGTGAAAAATCCCATGATCCTAAACTCAACGTTTATAAATACTTCTTTTGCCAGTTTCCTAACCCAAATTTTGAATGTAGGTAACGTTAACCAGTGTAATTCCTACTTATGGTACGGTTTTTTGCTGGATACATTTTATCTGCATTAATAACCAACAAAGCCAATAAAGGAATAAGTTATACTGCTAAAAAATAGATACATTAATACATTCCAATAAGTACTCCAGTTTAAATTTCCCGCTTTGTAAGAATAGTATACCGTAGCCATCTTAGTGGATACACGTTGAACTACACTGAGCACAGATTTCTTTTCTATAATTGTTTTACGAGTTATTCTTCAAGTGTACGGAGTTCATACCGTTTGTGCTTTAGAAACCACATATTATCCATTTTTACATCACGTTTTATTCCTTATATGTTCAAGAATCTGGAGAAACAATTTATATTTCAAAAACTTCTTTGACCTTTGAATTATACACAAAAGATTGCCATTGCAATCGAACGTCTACTTTATACACTTTCAGAGAATGTGCTATGAGTTTTAGTGCAATATAAACTGTTCACTCATAATTTACATACATTTAAGAACAAGAAACAACAAACATTTCCCAAAAAAAAGTATAGTTTTTAAAAACGGTATGAATTACGTTAGGCATGTTTCCCATAAGAAAGCTATTGTGAGATAGGCAACACACAATACTGATAGCGCGCCCTTAAAATTTTGATCATTCTCGTTCAGTGGATTTCGTGCTAGCTCCCCTACTAATAGGTTACACCTTTCTAAACGTTGATTAATGTACGGTGCAAACCCTGTCTATTGCTAAACAGTGTTTACGACTTTAAACGATGTTTAGTAAAACGCTGCAAACGGCCATAATATTAAGCGCATGATAACCATTTCAAATGTGGTCATTTTCACCTGCCCACCCTGTATAAGTGCGACTCTGAATCCCATAATAAAATTTGGTATCTGTCTTTTCGAGACAGAATAAGTAGATTGTGTATCTGGTAGCATTGACTAATTGGGAGGGTTATTAGTCAATGCTGGTAGTAAAAGCAATACATTCCAGGACTACAATGTAAATTGGAGAAAAAAGGTTTTTGCATTTATTTTTCGGTAATTATGTCTGCCGCTTAGATGAGTTCGTAATTGCGCAAAATGACTTCTTCACTACCTTATTTGCTATTATATGATTTATTTAGTTTTTTACATTCATTGTACATTGTATAAGTAATTAAGCATATTTTCTGTGGTGCTTATTTCAATATCCCTTGGCTTCCTCTTATTTGTCGCAGCATCTATAAGTCGGGTCAGGACAGGTGCCGGGCTGACTGAAAGGCAAGAAGGAATAATGCCAATTAAATTATTAAACAATTTGTGCCAGTGATTGTCTTATTAGCGTCCCGTCATTTTTCGGTAGGAGATGAAGCTGGTACCAAAAAGATCTGTCCTAGAGAAAAATAAGTGCTTACCATTGTTCTTTATTCGACGGGCATGGATTGTCACTGCAATAACAGTTTCTGTTGCAATATCCTGATACCATGCCAACTAATACCATTAGTAGAGCAGTCACGATCAGTAGCTTAATCATTTTGATTTCTGTATATATTTCATGACGAAAAGGCCACGCTTTTATAGCACATTCAACAAGCGGAATCTTATCGAATTATGTTAATCACAGATTATTTTATCTGGTTTTCACATCCACTTCAATTCGTTTTTAGCGCATTTCCACAATAAAAAAAATGCGCTATTGTGGCTACTTTGTCCGTCCGTCCGCTCGTTTTGAGACGCTACTAGTTTTTTATATTTTATCTTAAGAGGTATTGTTCTACTTTTTTCGCTATTTGGTTCGTTATGGTGTCGAGGCTTGCACCAAGGAAGGAATATTTTCTGCGTTTATTGCTAAAAAAGTTATTGTAAAAAAACCAACAAACCGTTTTTTATATGTTCCATAATTTTACACTTTACACTGTCTGTCGTCTGTCTGTTGGTCTGTCCGTCTGTTCCTTTGTCTGTCTGTCCCTCTATCTGTCCATATGAACGATAACTTTGTTTAGAAATGTCCGATCGCTTTTACATCTCCGTTAGTTATGAACTGAATATGAAATTCAATATGGGCATTGCTTTAGTCATATAATACGAAATTCCAAAAGTTGAGCCGAATCGATTCAAAATTCACAGTGCCCTCTTCGCATCTCGCATTGCAAACTTTTTTATTTATGGAAGCATTTAAATGAAATTTGATACATAGGCGCTTGGAACAAAGGAAAATCTAACATTAGTTTCAAAATTTAGGTTTACGCATGCGCAGTTCCAACGTTCATATTTAGAAAACCATTGAAATGAATTTCTTCTTATAAACTGAAATTGAAGTAGCACGTCAAAAATGGATTGCCCATGTGCAACGCTATCTTTCATATTTGTGGCCGGATTTTTACGATTTTAAAAGAAGTTGCATCTTACAAATGGGAAATGAATGCAAGTAGAAATGCGCTTTATGTAAATCGTTTACGATTACTTTTTAGCGTAACACAACGAAGTTGAGGTAAAGCTTATGCGCTCGTGTTTCCGTCCGTCCGTTCCATCGAGATCTCGGCCCCTGGGCCACCTACAGACTTCGGGCTTTCGCTAATTGATAGCTGTTATGGTCTATATTTGCCCAATTCGATCAGTTTCATTTAACTCCACATTTTGCCCAGACTGCGCAATGCCAACTTTCTTATTTATGGAGATATTGCTTTGAAATTTTAACCACAGACGCTTCTAGTAAAGGCAAACATTTCGCACATAGTTTCTCGGACGTGCTTCAATATGCAGATTCGACATTTTGTGTGCTTTTGGTGACGATGCGTCGTTTCAATACTTTGTGTTACGCGGCAATACCCACGAGTGGGTTTTGGAACATTTTTAACTTGTTCTCGTTACTTTCCTAAGCATTACCCACATTCCTGTTGTCTGCAACTGCAGAAGTTTGAAATTAAGTTGTAAGGATAACAAGCCAACGTCGTCAATATGGTACACGAAGTATTTACTTTTACGGTTATGTAATTCAAAATAAGCTGCTATCACGATCATGGCAACAAAACACTTGAAACAAAAATAGTTATCTGTAATTGTTGTATAATTCCATTTAAGCACAAATCAACATGCTGCGTATATTTTTATATGTACCATTATACCGATTTTGTGCTTCAATGGTAGAGCGTTGGGCTATAAATCCGGAGGTACGTGTTTCAAATGGTGTTAACTGAAGATTTATAACCCCTCATGACCCCTTACATTAAAACGTAGTTCCTTTTATCTTAGTTGGTATTGTCATATCCAATGTTTAATTGTCAGCTCGTAATAACAAAATACACTCCAAAACGTGTAAAAATTTTAAACCAAACGAAAATATTAATCTCAAGGCAAGGCACTTGACTGATAGTGGGAGCGGCTCGTGATAAATATTGGTATTATTCGGCATTTCGGATTAAAATTGTGCCACTTGGAACACATGTTCCTTAGACCTATTGGAGTGATTTGAGTCGCAGAGCCCGAAGTTCCGTTCCTTAGGATTGAAAATGGCGCCAATTTTTAAAATTTCAGGAAATATATGTTTTTAGATCGATTTTTACGTTTGGGGTGACGTTTACGAGGTTTCCGACGGTGAATATGACAAAAATAATATCCAAAGCTAATTTCCGTGTGGGAAGCATGTTTCATTTATCATATATAGGCCAATTGTATGATATCTTTTACGTCCGACAAGATTCAAAGGTTTTGACCGATTTTCGTAGTTGAGGTGGCGTTTCTGAGATTCTTTTGGGTGAAGATTACCAAAAAAGACCCATTAAAGGCATTTTTTATGAAATTTTTTGTACTTTAAATAAACAGATCGAGGTTAACTAAGTGCAAAACTGAGACTTATTCATTGAATCCTGTTTTTAACTAAAAATAAGGTGCTCATGCTTACGAAACAGCCTTCCCTGCACCCTACAGTGTTCTAACTGTCAAGAACACTGCAAAAATCGGAGCCGAGTATACGAGTACATGCTTATTTTATAAACATGACTGTCAGAGTTTTATTTTTAATGATCTTAACTAAATTTTTTTTATATCTCGACTGCAACAGGAGATTTGAACGATGATGAGGCATTCCCCTTTGATGACTTATGACTTTTTACTTGTAAATACGTTTCAATAATCAACAATTTTTAGTTAAAAACCGAATTCAATGAATAAGTTTCACCTTTGCACTTAGTTTACCTCGACCTGTTTATTCAAAATACTTAAAAATTCATAAAAAATAACTATTTGTGTATTAAGAGCGCAAAATGATATATTGTCGATTGAAAGAGACATTTGCCGCCCTAATCTCTTGAAATCAACAATCAATTTGCGCTCGAATTACACACAAGATTTTTTTCTACAATCGAGCAGTTCACATATTTCCAAAAATTAAAATTTTTCACTCAAATATAGATTATTATTTTAATCTTATGCCCAAATGAAAGATATCATTTACTCGTTGTCATTGGATACTCTGAGCAATGCATTTTTGATTTATAGTTTATAATTTGGAGAGCGAGCGTTTTTTTTTATTTTGTCGCGACAAATTGACATTCTTTAATGGGTCTTTTTTGGTCATCTTCACCCAAAAGAATCTCAAAAACGCCACCTCAACCACGAAAATCGGTCAAACTTTCCAAGAAACTTTCGAATCCTGTCGGACGTTAAAGATATCATACAATCATGCTTCCCACACAGAAATTATCTTCGGATATTGTTTTTGTCGTTTTCACCCTCGGAAACCTCGTAAACGTCACCCTAAACGTAAAAATCGCTCTAAAAATAGATATTTCCTGAAATTCGCCTCAATTTTGAAAATTGGCGCCATTTTCAATCCTAAGGGACGGAACTTCCGGCTCTGCGACTCAAATCACTCCAATAGGTCTAGGGAACATGTGTTCCAAGTGGCACAATTTTAATACGAAATGCCGTTTGTTCTCACGGGCCGCTCCCACTATAATGTATTTAACACTTTACTGATTTATGTGTAAAATGCGCTGGTATCAACAAGCCATCGGCTGTCACGTTGTGAAACTTTTAATGATAAAGATGCGAAATGCGAACACATACATTTTTAGCGTTTTTCCACAAAAAAAAAGCGCTATTGTGGCCACTTTGTCCGTCCGTCCGTCCGCTCGTTCGTTGAGACGCTACTAGTTCGTTATCTTAAGAGGTATTGTTCTACTTTTTTCGCTATTTGGTTCGTTATGGTGTCGAGGCTTGCAACAAGGAAGGAATTTTTTCTGCGTTTATTGCTAAAAAAGTTATTGTAAAAAAACCAAAAAACCGTTTTTTACATGTTCCATAATTTTACACTTTTGCCGTTTATGAACGATCCTAGAGATCGTTTATAATTTTGTATTGCTGTCTGTCGTCTGTCCGTCTGTTCCTTTGTTTGTCTGTCCCTTTATCTGTCCGTGTGAACGATAACTTTGTTTAGAAATGTGAAATGTCCGATCGCTTTTACATCTCCGTTAGTTATTAACTGAATTGCATGAAATTTAATATGGGCATAGCTTTAGCCATATAATACGCAATGCCAAAAGTTCAGTTGAATCGTTTCAAAATTCACAGTGCCCCCTTCACATCTCGAATTGCAAACTTTTTTATTTATGGAAGCATTTAAATGAAATTTTATACATAGGCGCTTGTAACAAAGGAAAATCATATTTAGAAAAGCATTGAAATGAAATTCTTCTTATAAACTGAAATTGAAGTAGCACGTCAAAAATGGATTGCACATACTCAACGCTATCTTTCATATTTGTGGCCGTATTTTTTAGATTTTTACGATTTTAACAGAAGTTGCAACTTACAAATGGGAAATGAATGCAAGTGGAAATGCGCTTTTTTGTAAATCGTTTACGATTACTTTTTCACTTGTTTTACTTTACACAGAGCGCAACATGTGATTAGGTATCTAAACAAATAACTGATGGATTTTTAAAAGAAAACCAAAGGTCCTAAACACCTAAATAGTTATGTTCGATGAATAAAATAAAGAAAAACGCAAGTTTCGGAACTTTTGAAGAAGTACCTTTCACAATACATTTTGCAGTTATCCAGGGATGGACCGCTAGATCTGGTGATGCGAGCTTCGGCTTCAAGATCAATTCAAATACAAAAGTGATTGAGCGTTTACTTTCTGTTTTAAAATTCGTAGCAGACACAAATGGCCAAGATAGTAAAGAAGTAATTTAAAAATCTTTGCTGTTTTTCACTCTTAGAGTGACCACGAGACGGCGCCCGTTCCTGTGTTCCTTTTTGTGCCTTGAGAGGGTGATTCAATTTTCGTTTTCTTTTATATTTTGAAGTATGTACTTGAGTGACCTTTTAAGGTACCTACCTGGTATGGAATATTCACGGTAAAAAGGTATCTAAGTCTTCCTTCAGAAATGATGAGAGGAAAACGTAATGCAGGGCGAAGCAGAATGGAATATCCCCCAGTCAACGAAAATTCAATAGTACATGTTCTTTTGTGAAGTTCTCGTAAATTTGAGCACTTACTTTTCTTGCTGGGAGGGGGGGGGGGCTCCTGGCTCCTCATACCTTCAGGTGTTACAATCTTCTCAGAACATGCACAGCCCTCAGCACTTACATAATCATTTCTGAGGTAGCCTCCCATTGGTCTAAGGTAAAGCTTAGACCATATAGGGGTAAAGTTCAAGGTTAGTTGCTAGATGTTTGGAAAGTACCGCAAATTGTCCGTCATTTTGAGGCGAAAAGTGGTGAGAAATTTAAATTTACGAAAGATTTTTAGTAGGTCAGCTCACGGCCAACTCCTGGCCCGCCGTTAGGTCTTGGTGAAATGCAAAGTAAAGATTTAAATTCGGATTTGAAATTAAAAAAGTTTATGTTTGTAATACTGCACTCATAGCCACACCACGACTGCTTTTAACATCATTATTATTAATGCTCTTAGATTTTGCAGAATTAAAGGTTTATCTTCATCTATCTTTCGCTTTTTTGAAATAATCAAATCCGGGAAAGATTCCCTGATTTTAGTGGATTCCTCCCATCTTTTCTGGCCTTTTCGAACTGCGTTTTCGAAAAATGTTTCTACAAAATTCAATTAATTATTATTGTTTTCTTGAGATATAACGTACTCATAACATAACATACTTAGCAACACGTTTATTGGAAGATCGGGGGTGGTTAATGAGTTTTACCCTCTAATTTTTTCGTTCCACATTTGATACAGCACGTGGTATACGAAATAAAAGAGAATTTTTGTTATTACTACTACATCCGGTAACCGAACACCATGGGATTTTGTCTCTAAGTGAAACTAGTAACTATTATAGGGCACAACATTCATTTAGTTTTCTACAAAGTTTTCAATTTTAAATTGTTTTCGTCCATGGCCCATCGAATTGACGTAAATAATCTGTCAGTCAGCCATTTTGGGTCGCTTTTGTTGTTATCTCTTTCTAACACATTGGTACAATGGATTGCGGTACATTCGAACATCTAGTAACTTTATGTGCGGGTTTGCATGTGCATTATGTCAGTATCTTTATTAAAGTTAAATGTTGATTTATGGCTTATTGTGCTTTATATTGACAATCTTCCCAAAACGTGTACAGCCCTCAGTACTTAAATAATCGTTTCTGAAGTAAAAAATGTATTTCACTCAGCAAACAGATGGAGGAAGGTTGACCTTATGTGGGATCTTAAACTATACTATATTTAAATTTTTTGAATGGATAGGGTTCAATGCAAATCTTATGTACGAGTGATGTTTGTGGCATTTGGGTACATCACTCGAAGTCTTTGGCTTGGTTGGTTTCTTGTTCTGCATCAACTTATTGGTGTCATCTGTGTCTGTGTATTCACTTCCTTGATTTTATATCCTCCATAGGTTTCTTTTCAAGCCGCATCTGTTTCCATCTTCTCTTCTTGTTTCTAGGCTTTTTCGGTTGATTTTTGGAAATTTATGAGAATTGCAGCTTTCCTTGTCTCCTTCAATCATTCTGGATTCTTCGGCATCTTTGGAGCTTCTAGGAGTTCTTCGGCTTCTTCAGTTTCACTGATCACAGGTTCCATGAGCTTGGTCGGTATTTTCTACATCGTAAACGATATCATGCGTCGTGCATTCTAATCCACTCGTAATAACAAAATACATTTCAAAAGGTGTGAAGATTTTAAAAACAAACGAAAATACCAATCTCAAGGCAAGGCACTTTGTTAGCCATAGACAGATGAAGCTACCTCTATTTGTTATCTGATTCTCTTTTCTGGTAAACGGTTAGGGCGTCGCCATTTTTAGTTTTTCAGTCTTCTTGGTATCAGCCGTGAATGCAAGTCCAGCATGTTAGAACCTGGGAAAAGATTGTCATTGAGACTCACTCCATGGTTCTTTACGAGGTTCTTTATTTGTGGCCGCATCCAAAACCCTCTGATTTTATTTAGCTTTTTGGGCTTGAGGACTCCATGATCTGCTCCACACACTTATATTCTTTTCAATTTGGTCGGTTATCCTTGGCACTTACTCCAAATGCATTCCTTCTCAGCCATGAACAAGGGGATCTTATTTGTGCTTGTCTGGCTACGGTTTGGACCATCAACTGTCCTTTCTACCTTATTCTTATGTAGCCATTAATGGAATTTATAAATTCCAAAAATGACTCCTGTAGGCGAGGATAGCGATCGTGAGAAAATGCAACAATTAATTTATCTTTCTTTAACTCGAATTAATGATAGTAGCTTAATCTATCATAATACTATGCGATCAAAAATGAGTTGCGGTTGAGTCACCTTTGGAATTTTTGTTTACATGGGAAATACTTACTTAACTTGAACTTCAAAGGCGACTCAACAGCAACTCATTTTTGATCGCCCGTTATAAAACGACACACATACAATTAGAAACAACCAAACAGGAAAAAATGGACCAACACAACTGATTTTCATACAATAATTTAAAAAAGAAACCTGTACTAAATCCCACTAGATGGCACTTGCAACCTGAAAAATGTAATTTGTCACCCTGTATCTTTTTTAACCTGTGTGGCGCAGTAGTGTGGAAGTGCGACTGTGTCACTAAGGGTCCCTGGTTCAAATTCGTGGTCGGGCATGGATATTTGTAAATGTATAGTGGGTTGGGGTGGTAGAGCAGCCTTGGCTGAAACCCCGCCCATTTAAAAATAAACTCAAAAATAAATAAATATGAGAGACTTCATTTTTTCCAGATGAAGCTGGAACCGCACAGCTGCTAGGAATTGGATCTTTGGCAGAAATCGATGGCGATGCAGAGGATCACTTTTCGGAATCTGATGATTCTGACAAAGAAGATGATGAAATCAAACCTGATGACAATCTAATTCTAGCGGGGAGAGTAGAAGAGGATGCAAGTACATTAGAAATTTATGGTAAATAAATTACAGAAATGTACAAAATAGTTTCTAAACTCTTATCCCACAAATTTGGGAAAATCTTTTTTTGTGTATTTTTGTTTTTAACATGTTGGCCGCCATATATACAGCCGGCTGACATAGGAGATGTTATTTTTCCAAGCCAGCCGGCTACACGGCGTGTGACAGCGCAAGCGTGGCAGTCGACTGCCGTAGGAGACAGTATCTCACCCCGCCGGCGATCTGGCGGTTAACGTGTTAACGCATGTTGTCCAATCAGTCTCATTGTCAGACTGATTCTATAATGTTAAATGGGCAAGTTGACATTTTGGCTTCATTCTAGTATACAATCCGACAGAAGAATCCCTTTACGTTCATCACGACTTTAGTCTATCAGCATATCCCTTATGCTTGGAGTGGTTAGACTACGAACCAGGTCATTCTGCAGGGAACTACTGTGCTATAGGGTCCATGAATTCTATTATCGATATTTGGGATTTAGACATAATTAATTGCATAGAACCCGCTTACAAGCTGGGAAGGAAACCTAGTAGAAAAAAAGGTTTAAGTAGGATAGGCCACTCAGACGCGGTATTGAGCTTGGCTTGGAATAGTAATTTTCATCATGTGCTTGCTAGCGGCTCAGTTGACAGGAGTATTTTGCTGTGGGATTTGGATTCCGGAGAACCTGCAACCACTATCAACGCTTTTACGGATAAAGTGCAGTGTTTGGAATGGAAACCAGATGAATCACAAACATTACTCGCAGGCAAGGTTTTTTTTACAGTGACAGTGCAAAGTTTTATCTCTGTTTTTAGGCGGTTGTGATAACACGGTCAAATTATTTGATTGCAGCAATCCAGAAAATTACAAAACATGGCAAACTAGCGGTGAAGTTGAATCGCTTGCTTGGAATCCAATAGAGTCTTCCTCATTCTGTGTTGGAACAAATACTGGAGTAATTCATTGCTTTGATTATAGACAAGGTGGGCTATGAAAACTGAAAGGAACTATACGTGTAATTGAATTTTTGATAGAATCTCCTATTTGGACTATACCGGACGCGCACGAAAAGGAGGTTACCGGCTTGAATATTAGTGATCGATATGCAGGGTTTCTCGTAACCGCATCTGCTGATGGATTGGTAAAGGTGTGGGATTATACAGCAAGTAATCAACCCCGTATGATTTCCGACAAAGATTTTGGCATGAATTTGGTTCACTGTTTGGCATTGTGTCCAGATTGGCCATTTGTGATCGCTGCGGGTGGTGATAATAAAATGAATAATTTTTCGGTATACGATTTACAAAATTCTGACGCTGGTGAGTTTTTGTATGGTTTGGAATAAGGCTAATCTTCATTGACCCGAAAAAAATTACCTTTCCCTACAGAGGCTATTTTTCAGGTAGGGGGGTTGTATGGACGTGTAATTTACTGTGATTACTACTGATGGTAGGGTTGACCCTCGGGTTTAAAGCAAATGCGACTGCGACAAAAATGGACTCGATCCTGTAGCCAATAGCATTGAATAAGGAATCTTCGTTTTTTTACAAAAAAGCACGCGGCTTGCCTAAATTAACCAGAGACTCAAACTTTACTGGGTTCATAAACACGCGTGACAAAAAAAACCAGTTACAAAAACCTTAAATCTAAAATGAAACCCCTAACGTTTAATTGAGGGATTTATGCGTTGGGCATTCAGTCAGTAATGTATTGTATTGAATACAGAGTTTAAGTACGTAAATACAGGGGCTTTCAATGAATGATATGTTTGATTGCTATAATTTGGTAGTACTCAATAATATGATTTATATGGTGCATTACACACTGTAATGTACCTATTATTAATTGCCGTTTATATTTTAAGGTATTTTCTGGGGTTAACGAAGATAATACGGTTATTCTTTTTTATAAATTTATGTTAATTATTCAACTGAGTTATTATTCAACTGAGTTTAATAATTTTTTTTTTCAGTTCGAAACACATTTCAGTCTAGAGAGGTGACTCAAACGCCATGTGGAGCAACAGATGAACCAATGACATGAATTTGTGTATAAATAAGTACCTAATATATTTTGTTTATTGAAATGGTGGTCACAATTCATTTAGCAAATGTCCCCTACTCTCAATTTTAACTCTCGATCTGTGCAAAGTGTTTCCAAGTATAAATCTTTAATGAAGGGTTTAAATTATTTTTTCTATTTCGGTGTTACAATGAGAATTTTGTGCAACTGTTTTCGGCAAAAACAGTGTTTCAATGAGTTCCATTGTAACATTGTTTTTGGTAAAATTATGTACGTAAAATTTATGTGTTTTCCTTGATTTTTGGTACATGAAGAACTTAATACATTCCAAATCAGCAGTTCACACATCCACCATAAATAAATTTATCTACGAATAAAAAATTACCATTCACTGAATTTAAAGTTTCCAATTGTCAGTGTTGTGTTTATCTACGCTGCCAACTTAAAATTTGTCAACGTAAATGGTGTTGCCAACTTAAGACATATTAATTCTAAAGTTTCCTGTAGTTTTTGTAATACTTTTTAATTAAATTAAAGCTCCGAAATAGAAAAAATAGTATGAAAAACACGTGTTACAATGCTTTGTCGTATTACAATAGGTCACATTGTAACACTTGTCTTCCAATATACTATTATATTTGTTGCTTTTTTTGCAAGAGGTTGGTGACAAAGATCCCGACAGATGAATTCAGTTTTGCGAAACAAAACTGCCGGTACTGGACTGATGAGACACTTTGGGCGGGTTTACTAGCAGACCGAATTTTTTACAGAGGTAATGTAACTGGCGAGGTTTACATGGAGATACCTAAGAATTCGATAGAGCCATCAGTTGTCCATGAAATTGAAAATCAAAGGGATTTAGAATGAAATTTAAATGTTAATAAATCTTAAGTTACAAGATAGTAGACACTCCAAAGTTTTAAGGTCTACCAGCCCGACACTTCGTGTTCAAGTTATAATCTCAATGATATGAGGTCAAAAAAAGAGGATTGGGTAGAAATTTAAGTTCCTTTCATTCCAGTATCATTAGAGGATAAAACCAGTTTTTCCCCCGGCCCCCACCCGATTTTGATTAAGGGAGAAAGATGGTAGTTGGTGGAAAACAGTTACTTTGGTTGAGACCTTTAATTAGAATACCACCAAGATAAATCTAATTTCTAACACCTTCTCCTCCAACAGTTACTATAACTGATATCGAAAAATGAGCTGCAGTGGACACGTATAGTTTGTAGAATCCAATTCCTTTTAATGAAACCTTTCATTAGAATATAAGGGTTAGACGTGCTCCCCCCTTCCTCTCCAACTTTTTTCAGTTTTACTTGACATGGGGAGCAAAAAACGTTTTTCCCATGTTAATTCCCTATGTTAGGTTTTGGAATATTCACCCGCTATATTACTTTCTCATTACCGTATCCGCATCTTTAAAACATTATTTTTTGCGTGCCATTTTAAACAAACCAGTGGGCTCTGAAATACCAGTAGTTACCTACACAAGAAGTAATTGACATTTTACGGTTTTATCACACAATTCGAATGATTTCTACATGTAAACAATATAGAAAAATGCAAATTAGAGAATGCGCATAAAACAGAAAGGATGAAAGATTCCATAAAGAAATTTAAAATGGTATCGGCCCAGTGAAAACTGAAGAAGATATAAACCAGAAACTAAAATAAAATTATAGTATATTTAGCATCTAGTTGCACACTGTGTTGCCTATGTACATGCCGAAAAATTTTGAACATATAAATACCTTTTCTGAGTTTCATAGACTTCCGCTACGAGACTTTAGCCACAACCAAAAATATTTTGTGTTTCTAACCTAACCTCAAATTATCTTTTAGAAACAATCTCATTAGAGACCGAAGTGTGTTATTGAAACGAAAAAAACCTAATGTTTTAGGTGTCTTTTTCAGCTCGTGCAATTCAGTTCTTAACAGCACTAAACACATAACTTTAAAAGTGTCTAATATTACTTCTTGGTGACCTAATTTTAGTCATACAAACAAAATTATGACTACCATTAATAGCGCAACGGAATTGATTGAGTCGGATAGTGAGGATGATTTTAAATCCAAACAAGTAACTCCCCGGCCTCACAAAGAAGAGATCAAAAGTAAACTTACGAATTGTGAATTTGAGGAAGATGTTCCGTCAGATTTCTTTGACGACTTTTCGAATGATGACTTTATGGATGGCCTGGATATGGTCGAATCTTGTGACGATGACTGTCAGGACGATGAGGGTCTGAGAATTATAAAACAAAAGAAATTAGCGAGCAGGATCGGATTCCGAAAGGGAAGTCGGCCACATTTTAAGCGACACAGATCGCACAGTTTTTCATTATCATCAAGTGAAAGTTATGGAGAACGAAGTCGATCCTTAGAACGTTATTCGAGTGAACGCTGGTCTAGGGAAAGATATAGAGGGTATCCCGGGTTTAGAAGGGGAGGCTATATTGGACCTAGAAGGGGAGGTTTTATACCTAATTTCAGAGGGAGATATACATGGTATAAAAGAGGTTATGTGTTACCTTATGGTTATAGGGGCCCAAGAACAAGAGGATATACACGAGGGTATGCCTGGCCGAGACGAGGAGGTTATACAGGACCAAAATCAGAAGATTATATAGAACCAAGATCGGAGGATTACTCTGAGTCAGAATCAGAAGGTTACGGTGAACTAAATTTGGAGGGTTACACTGAGCCAAAATCAGAAGATTACGTAGAGTTGGTATCGGACGATTATGCTGGGTCAGAATCAGATGGCTACACTAGGCCCAAATCAGGAGATTACACTGAGTCCAGGTCAGAAGAGTACACAGAGCCAAAATCAGAAAGACATACGGAGTCAAAAACGGAACGCTACTCGAGGTCTAAATCGGGCGGTTACACTGGGTCAAAATCAAAAGAATATACAAAGTCAGATTCGGGGCATACTGCGTCAAAATCAGAAGATTACTCGGAACCAAAATCAGAAGGTTACACAAAGTCAAAATCAGATCACACTGGGTCAAAATCAAAAGGGTATACGGAATCGAAACCAGATGATTACTCGGGCCCAAAATCAGAAGGTTACACAAAGGTAAAATCAGGCCATACTGGCGCAAAATCGGAAGGGTATACTGGGTCAAAATCAAAAGGGCATACAGAATCAAAATCAGAACATTACCCGGAGCCAAAATCAGAGGGTTACACAAAGTCAAGATCAGGTTACACTGGGCCGAAATCCGAAGAGTACACTGGGCCCAAATCAGAAGGGCATACTAGGTCAAAATCAAAAGGGTCAAAATTAGAGGATTGCACTGAGACGAAATCAGCAAGTTACACAAAGTCATCAAGGTACACTGAGTCAAAAACAGAAGGGTACACTGGGCCAAAATCAAAAGAGTATACCATGTCAAAATCAGAAGGTTACCCAAAGTCAAAATCAGGGTACACTGGACCGAAATCCGAAGGGTACACTGGGCCGAAATCCGAAGGGTACACTGGGCCGAAATCAGAAGGGTACACTGGGCCAAAGCCAAAAGGGCATTCTAGGCCAAAATCAGACTACACTGGGTCAGAATCAGAAGATCGCAGGAGGCGTAAGTCAGAAAGTTACACTGAATCAAAATCGAAAGATTATACAAAATTGAATTTGGAAGGGTACACAAAGTCAAGGTCAGGTTACACTGGACCAAAGTCAGAAGGGTACCATGGACCAAAATCAAGAGGGTATTCAGGGCCAAAATCAGAAAGTTACACAAGGTCAAAATCAGGTTACACTGGGCCGAAGTCAGAAGGGTACACTGGGCCAAACTCAAAAGGATATACTGGCCCAAAATCAGAAGGTTACACAAGGTCTAAATCAGGAAGTCACACAGGGTCAAAAGTGGGTGGTTATAGTGGACCTAATACAGAAAAAAATATGTTTTTGAAAAATCTGTCTGATATTGACTCTGAAATCGATGACTTTGAAATAGACAAAAGTGAAAATGTAGAAAAGGTTGATTCATATACTTTCACAAGGCACGAATATAAAAAGTCATCTTCTTCGCCTAAACATCGCAATAGACATAGTCGAAGTCCAATTCATGTCAAGACAAGATCACCGCTTACTGTTAGGTACATGTCTTCTCCAGAATTGAAAAGAAGTCATAGTCCTGAGCGCAGGAAGCTGCATCGAAGCAGCAAGTACAGCCATGATTTAAAACGTAGAAAACGTTCTAGGAGTCGTAGCCTTAAGCTAAAGCCGGAATTGACTTCTAAGAGACATAGAGAGAGAGCTCGTGAGAAATCTTCCAAGGAGTCTTTGTCTCATCGCTTACAGAGTCAGTCGAGACGTGTTGACTTTTTAGAGGAATTGGCAACTAAGTTGGAAAAAATGGAGAAAAATAAATACTACAAAAAAGTGCTACAAATAATAGGAGAAGGAGAACCTTCTGCTGACTCGGACACTGCTAGTCATAGGAAGCCTTCCCCTCCAGCTCCCAAACATCAGCACTCAGTTCCTCCTGCACGCTCACACTCTAATTATAACCCAACTCCTCCAAACCATCCACACTCCTCTAATTATCATCCATCTCATTCCGGTTTCCCTCCCAACCAGTCACACGAACATTTTCGCCCCACACCTGATTTTGGTCCCAATCACTCACACTCGCATACTTATCACCACTCATTTCCTTCTGGACCTTCACCAAATGCAACCCAGATGCACATTCCTGTAGTGGAACCGGGCCCATATTTTCCTCAACGCAGGGAGCCTTCTCCTCAGTTTGATAATAATTTCTTCGAGAATCAGCAGTTTGCTACGAATTATCCTTCTGCACCATTCCCAGGCCCTACACATAATCAGCATAATCCTTATGACGATCACAGACGTGAAGCTCCACGTATGCAAACCGAACTACCAAGTACTTCAACCGGTCGGAGTCGTGCAAATGAGTTTAGTCGAGAATTTGGCAACACCAAAACGTCCAGTAATCTAAGATTTGATCTTCAAAAGGAAAAAGAAGAATTTTTCAAAGTAACGTTCCCCGTTCGATTGTCATTAAGTAACGTTTTTATTGTTTTAGATATTTGAAAATAAGAACGCCGGTGAGCAGGTCTATCAAAATGCTCCAGAAGAATATGCGGGTAAGTTTATTTAAATTTTTTATATAAATTTTTATATCTAAATTCTACAGAACACATGAATGTACCGAGAGAGAGAAGAGGTAAGTGTTTTACGTAGTAATCATGGCGTACGAATGGAGTAGCTATATATCTGCATTTGAATATAGTGGAGTTTTACATAGCATTTAAGGGCGTTCTATTTTAGTTAGTCGATGATAAAATTTGTATAGTGTGGGTAAAACCGGAAAGAAGGGATTGGTTGGAAATGTAATCCCAAAATTGACTGTAGAGTTAATATGGTGTGTTCCACTGCTACACTTTTTTATTATGAGCTAGAGCTTGGTTAAATTAACAAATGTAAATTTTGTTTGCAATAGTTGAATCAGAAAAACAATTGAGCATAGGGTTACTGAGATACTCAACAATATAACATTTTTTAATGCGACGAACTGGATATGCTGGACCACTACACTTTTCAAAGTCATTTTGCAAAAGGTTAATGAAAACAGCAACATTGCTTTCCCAATTGGTTTCCTTTCTGGATTTGAAGCGGGGGGTGAACATACGTCCGCGCGCACATAGGCCTCCTTTTTTGGGCTCGTTGTACTGCCATCATGATTATAGTTGCCCGCTCCAACATCACACGAGCTATCTCACAATTTGAGGACACATGTAGGAAAACGGCTCTAGTGTTGCGCCCATGCTTGGTCAGGATTCACTTCTTTAATTTGGACGAGTAGGTGACACTCGTAAAGAATGCGGGTACCGTTTCCTCGCCCGTATTGTATCTTAGTCAAGCTGGTGCGATGTCTCAGGGGCGACCCTAATACCAATGACCTTGACATTCAAATTCGAAGGACCACCCTAGAGTACGCTCAGGGCATGGAAGCAATGAGCACCTTTAGCTCTCATTACATATTCTAAAACGGTAACAATATAAATTGATTTGTATACTCATAATATACAGGGTAAGTAAAAAATCCACGGAACGTTATAGCTTAGTCTCGAGACCTCATATTGACTTCGGGTTTTCGCTATATGAAAGCTTAGGCGTTCCAGATGTGCAGCTATCAAAAATTAACTTTGATATCCTTCACCAAAATCGTTATTTATTTTTTAATTTTTTTGGCCTTTATTTTAAGTGGACGGGGTTTCAGTCAAGGCTGTTCTACCTACCCAACCCACTATACATTTACAAATATCCACGTCCGAACCTGGATTCGAACCAGGGATCCTTAGTACCGCAGTCGAGCTTCAATCTTAAGCATCCATTTTCTTGGGAAAAAGACTAAACTCAAGAAGTGATCCATGTGCAGTTTTAGCGCCGAAAATATTTTTATGCAGAAGATGTTAAAATCGTTATTTATGCACCCATTTTCTTAGAAAAAAGGCCATGTTTTATTGTTCGATGCGCAAGAAGTAATCCATGTGTATTTTTGGTCACCAGCACATTTTTGGTTAAAAAATATTAAAATAAAAATATCGACTTCAAAGGTAGTCTGTTCATCTGTCTATGTGAGTGGGTTGCACTGGCAATACCCACATGGTAGTCTTCTTTTTTCGACTTCCAATTTAGTCGGACGATGATACAATTTGTAGTGTTTCTTATTTTAATTTTTGTATCACTTTTCGCATAAAACAAAAACCTTAGTTACATTTCTTATGTAGTTCTTTATTCTGCGTCCGATAACAATGAAATATACAGGGTGTCGCATTTAAAAACAAAACTTCCTGGAAAATAGGAAATTTTTCCAATAGGTATTCTTGCATGATTATGCTGTTGTGCCATACATCATTTTATTCGGAATAACAAATGCTACTTGATACAGTATGAACTTTTTTACGGACCATATAAAAAAATAAAGTTCATGATTCCTTCAAAACGAAACGTTGTATTGAAAGTCTCTCAACGCTGTTTTGTAGTGGCAATGAGAAAGTGTTTTTTTTAATTTTTAACGCATTTTTAAGAATTAAAAAAATGTGCTATTGTTTGCGTTTTGTACGTCCATCCGTCCGGACCCACTTCTACCGTTTTGAACTACTTCTAGAGAAATGGTCCTTGAGTCCTGGAAATGGGGAGGGGGGGGGGGTAAACACATGTTCTGCCCTTCATGGTAGTCTAATGAAAGGTCTCATGGAAATAAATTGGTTTGTATAAACTATAACTTTCCCGTGCGACTATTTTTCGAGATCAGTGAGCGACGGGGCCTGAGGGGAGGGGGGGGGGCTTAAAAATTAATGTTTTCTCATTGTATTCTAATTAAAGGTCTCTTAAATTCATAAATCAATGATTTTATATTTAAAGAATTTATTTTATCTTTAAGTTACCCCAACTAATTTTTTTAAATACAAAAATTATTCTAAAATAAAATAAAAAATTAAACTCTATGGGGTCTTCTCGTCTTTTATTTACATTAATAATAATTTATGTTTTTTTTAACATGATTATATCAACTTTTCTATTTAATTTTACAAAGAAACCGTTTTCTACTAACTACTGCCCTTCTTTCTGTCCTCTTTATCTTTCATGGTACTCTAATGAAAGGTCTCAACGAAAGGAATTAATTTCTACCAACCATAGCCCTCCTCCTCGATCTCTTATCGTGATCGGGTATATTCCCTTATACCTCAAGAACGGATTGTCGGAAGAGAGTACTCACAAAGGGCGATTGAGACGTCTGCAAGAAATATATCTATTGGTAATGTCAAAACAAAAGCTATTTCAGTTAAAAAAAATGCACTTTATCTGCGCAAGAGTTGTGCACAATTTATACTTGTTTTGTATCTATTCAAATAACAGTAGGAAAAAATAAAAACAAAATCGGAAAATTTCGCTTTTCTGGCATATCTTCGGAAGTAATTGGAATTTTCTGTTTTTTTCTTTACAGCATGATAATGTCTCTTTAACTGCGCAACTTGTATGTAATTTGACCATCTTCGTATCTTCTATTGTTTCCGAGATCCCAATGATAGACATTCTTATCTTGGACCATTGAACTAGATACTCATAACTGGAATGGTATCGCCCGTAAACAGTTGTTGCAAGGGCGCCGTGCCGAAAGAGATGGGTAGAGGTAGGTATACCTCATTGTGTTTCACTCACATGGCGTTTATGCGTTTTACAAAACAACGTACCAGACAAGGATGATTATACAAACAATGTGCCAGAAAAAGATGAGGATACCTACCACAGCCTACGTTAGGCGGCACGAGTTTTGATTATCAATACCCTTCCAGTAACCTGTGACAGCGTATGTCTGGGACCAAGAAAAATCTTGTTGATATGCGCATGCGCATAGGCTTCAGGTATTTTTGAGAATCTTAGATAACCTATGCACAATAGAAGGTCTGAGAATTGTAGGAATCACATAAGCCTCACCTTCAATTTCAATGCTGGTTATTTTCTCAGCTGCATCAAAATAGCATTTCATTCTGTCTGTTTATTTAATGTTAGTTCGTTATTTATTATTTAGTGTTTGATAATTATTGTCATTAGAGTTGGCTTAATTAGTTTAGTAAAACTGGGATTACATCGTAGGCGAAAGAAAATGATAATCTATTTGTGCTGATTTGAAAATCGATGTGCGCATAGAAAAGAGAAGCTCAACCCGCCAATAAGAAAGTCAAGAATTTTTGATGAAGCATGCAAAATTGGAGTGGCTGAGTAATGTGCTGCATATCCTACACCAATTCCATAAGTGCAAAAATTAACCAATGTGTTAGTAAGTTACAAAATGCAAAAAAAATTAGGATTTTCCATATAGATACAAATTTTGCAAAAACGATGCCAGGATGCCCAGGATTAGTGATTAATGAAGAAACAATGGTAGAATATCTTAATTTTGTACAATAAAATTTGCTTTCATGAAGCACATCTTTTGTCAACTTTCACAAATGCGGGTTATGAGATTTACATATTTTAAGAAGATGGTTTTGGAAAATTTTTGGAGAACCAAGTGGATAAAATTGTAGTCATCCTCCTAATTGAAGAAAAACTGCAACAGTTTATGCTACACATTCCGCTGTGGTTGTTTAAGCTGATTGACACGGTGTAATAGAATGGCCAGAAAGTTTTGGACTGATTTTTCCTTTGCGACCTTTAAAAACAGTTGTGTACAAGATACAACCTGGAAATGTGTATGAATTAAGAGACACGAAGTTTTTTAATATCGCTTAAGGATTTGATGGAGCTCATTGTGGCTATTTAGTAAAATAGATTTGTAAACAATAAACGCAAATGGTAAAATTCATTCATTTTCTATTTTCTTGCAGTTTTATTAAAATATTTTTTGATCGGACAATACAGAGAATCGTATGGCTTGAATAAATTAAATGGTGGTATACTAAGTGTGCATCTTGTCATGTAAATCGATGTGTTTTTGCAATTCTTCTTGTTAAAATGTGATAAAACTTAGTTTTTTGACAGTGAATAACAATGTGTTAAAAATTCTTGTGAAAAATGTGTCATCATTAGACGCGACAGTCACTGGAGGTAAATGTGTTTCTTTAATTTTCTTGTCTGAGACGAAGATGGACATAAAAATAAAAGGAAACTTGTTAGGAGACAAGCTAGGATAATTGCTGGCTGGTTTTCATAGTTCACCTTAATCCACTTAAATTGAGAGATGAGATATTAAAAGGTTACACTCATACAGGAATCAATAATAAATGCTTAAATCTTACAGTTGGCAAAGAAACGTCTGCATGGATTCAACGGTTTTACATATTTTCCACAAATAGTGCATGTGACTACGTTCGTTGAGTGTACTAATAGATAATGAACAATTATTTGTTAGGTAGGAAATCTGTAAAAGTCCAAGTCTAGTCTATTTCGGATATTACCCACACTACCCTGTATGATGTTAATGTTTAGTTTGCGATTCTGCGAGAAAGTATGTATAATCACATTATATATCCATTATATATGTAAACTCCAAATAAGAGAAGAACAAGACTTCTTTTGGAAAATTAAATGACGTAATATACAGGGTGGGCCAATAGTGCATGGGTGAACGCACAAAAAATCATCAAAATTCATTGTCGGGGCTACAACTACAACCTAGAAATATTTTCAATGAAATTGCAATTGTTATACAGGATGATTCCATTTTTTAAATAAAACTGTATATTATTGCATAATTCGATTCCTTGGTCAATTTTAGTGTGACTTGATGTATTACACATGATATCTAAAATGAGCCGTTTAGCTTCAATCAGAGGTGACTTGATTTTTTTAAATAGAACTACGATTTTTTTTATTACGTCAAATGTAGGTTTTGATTACCTTTCTAACGATATAAGTATGTCGATATTTACCTTTTACATATTTTTAATTCAACATTTTCTGATAATTTACAGTGTTTTTCGATTTCCAAACCCCCTCAGAAATTAGTAGGCCCTTCAAAATTATAAAAACCAATTTATAGAACAATTACAACACACAAAACAAAATCTCAAAAACCGCAAAAACCAAAATTTAAAAAAACAATTATTTTAATAAGTTATGTCTCCCGCGCTGTACCAAACATTTGCTGATGCGTTTAGAAAAACATTTCTTCACACAACAAACTACAGTTGGCGTTACGAATGAGAAAACATTACAAATGCGCATTTGCATATTCTCTTGTGTTATTATGGTACTTCTTTGTATACAATTCCTTTCACATATCACCATAAGAAGAAGTCCAGTGGTGTAATATATATCGAGCACGCGCTGATCAATTTATAGCGCCTCCTGGACCTATCGACCTCCCGGGAAATTGTTGATTGAGTCATTCTTTAATGTTTAGAAAAATGAGGTGGGACACCATCGTGCTCAAACCACATTCCTTTTACAATGTGCACTGCAACATTTTGAAAGAGGAAAAAGTTCCTACTTAAAATACATAGTAAAGAGCACTGTCTCAGTTATTTTTTTCGAATTCCATTTTTCTGACAATCAACAACAGAATTGAAAATGCCAACGAACCAAACTGGCAGATATTTTTAATTTTATTTTGTTTTTCCAATATGGCTTTTTGTTCAAATTTATTAATTTAAGCTCACGCATTGATTTACATGCAAAATTCATTTTTATCTCTTAAAATGAGCTATGCACAACATGAATGAGATTTTGTTTTGTTAATAATAATAGATAATAATTTTTAACAGATTACTAATTACTGAGAGGATTCGAAAATCGGAAAACACTGAATTATTACAAATTGCCAAAAATGCGTAAAAAAACCTCGGGAAATACTGACATGCTTAGGTATATAATTAGAAAGGTAATCAAATCCTTAATTTTTTGATGCAATAAAAAAAACTTGCTAATTTCATTTAAAAAAGTTCTTATAACACAAAGAATGTTTAATTTCGCTCGTTTGGCGCATGTTAGTACATCGCATATGCAACAATATACAGCGGTTGCATTTAAAAAAATTAATTTCGGTATAAATCACCCTGTATAACAATTGCAATTTCTTTGATAACATTTTTAGGTTGTAGCCTAAGAGTCCCTCAACATGCCTTGACAATGAATTTTGTATATGTGCATTAATAAACCCACAATCTTCCACCCACGCACTAATGGTCTACCCTGTATACTTTTAAACGTTTCTGATCAGTGCCATTTTAAAATATCAGTGGCGTTGATGCAGGCAGGTTACAGAAAATTAGTTTATTCCAATTGTGACATATTAATAATCCCTTTTAAGAAATGTGTCAATTTAGATATTAATTAATTAGTCATCGCAAAGGAATTATTTAGCAGCTAGCAATGTGTGGTAAAGATGTAAGGTAGATTTCTATTTATATTGTGATCAATGTGGAACAGTCTGTTATTTATGAAAAATGTTGTGTTACTGCACTTTAACAAAGTTATGTCTAACTTCATACGCGTGCTTTTATTCCATTCAGAGCATTTCTCAATATACACTGTGTTCTAAGTGAAGTCGGGTGCAGTCAGAAGCAAATATTTATTATCGGTGACCAATTCGTCATTCTATACCATTGTAATGTTCCGTCATAATTTAATATTTACATAGACACCTGTTAAACTGAGTCCTATGTAAATTACAGCTTGACACGTTCATGGAGACCACATGAGCTTGATAGTCCTTGAAGATGAAGTACTGGTATCGTACTGTCAATCTTTTGAGTATGGTGATAGAGGGGATCAAGACTGGCACTTTTTCCATATAAACCGGGGGTCCAACGTGTTTCGTTTGGGAGCCACCACTAAAGAAGTGGTGAAATTTGGATTGCTTTTTTAATTTTTTTCTCAGCAACCATAGTCGATATTACGATACTTGCAATAATGCTTATTGATTGTAATGGAACTCTACTTAAAAAGCATTTTCCCACCACCCACGGAATTTTTGGAATCGAATTTGCAGACTTGAATACAAATAATTTGCGACATTTGTAATTAACTACATGCGAAATTAGATCACTCACTAGTAGGCGGGGGACACTTTGTAACCCGAAGGCTCAATCTTCAAATGAGTTTAACTTTTGTTTGAAAAAAACTGTTCGACAATTTTGTTCCTTAACTCATCAAGTATGTACACAACAAATTTCGTGGAATTCTCTCCCATTTTCGTTGTCCGGCTAAGAATTGCAGTTTTTTTCGCACCCCCAAGTAGGGGTGCGCTCTTTCGTGGTAGGAATTTTGAAAAAAAATTTTAAAAATCGGACAGAGCATACCCTAAAACCAATTCAAAGAAGTGCTACCCATCTTTGTAACTCTTATGGTGCTGAGATAAAAATTAAAGAAGAAATCCAAATTTCACCACTTCTTTGGGGGTGGCTCTCAAACGAAACACGTTGGAGTCTCGGTTTATTTGGAAAAAATACTTGTCTTGATCCCCTCTATCACCCAATTTTTTTTACATACGGTCATGTAACACCCTGTATACCTACAAGTATTTTTTAGATCCAGTTGTATCAAGATAGTTCAAGGTCAGTTCAGGCTAGCTAACCGAATGAAGAAATTCGATTGGTTAACTTTCACAAAATAATCCAATCACTCGACATCCGGCTATGTAGCCCAACGCTCTACCAATCTGAGCCGCAGTGTTGGTAGAAAACACGAAAAACGCAAATTTCGCACGTTACTATGACTCTTGTGTTTCCACGACCGTGCTTGGTTTGTAGTTTACCTAGGTCTCGGTTAAATGTATAATTTACAATGCATGTATTTTGTATATTACCATAGAGGTAATGTAGATAACAGGGTACACACTGTTGTTTAGAAAATCCGATTGCTTTTTTAATAAATATGACAAATTATTATTTTAACAGTGAAGGGTACGACTTAAGTACTTACAAAAATGTACTTGGTACTTAAATTTAGACGAACTCGTTTGAATAGAAGTTTTCCTTGATGTTCAGGATTTTATAATTAGATATAGATATAGACTCACAAAAGCTTAGCAATAGTAAAATATGGAATGTTAATAGTCATCAAGTACAATAGAATGTGTCTTACACAACCTGCACTTAATTATTAAAAAAGTAATCGAATTTTATTTTGATAGATTTTGGCGTGTTATTTTAGAATCTCGACGTAAAACTCTTTTTCTTCAAAACGTGGAATATTTGAACTATAAAATAATGAAACTTGATATTTCTAATAGAAAGGAGTGAACTGATCAGCACGTTGCCTATGGAAATTCAGAAAAAAAGAAAAATTGAATCGCAACGGAGACGTGAAAATACACGTCGCGTTCTCGTTGGTAAAACGAAGCAAGATGTTTTTCGTATGCCACGCAAGACGAACCCGGATCTCGTCCATGAAGGTCGCTCGTCTTATCGAATTCAGTTCGATGATGAAATGGATGAAATGGAAGAGAATTATTCTGTAAGTAAAAGTGGATCTTCTTTTTTGTAAAAAAAATCTTGGTCTCCTATACATGGAGCACTTTGACGCCGAACGCGAAGAATAAGACAGTCTTATGTATTCTCCTCGATTAAAAAAAATGCCATAAAGTGTAGTGTAGCTCTGGTTATGCGACCAAACAGAAACCACGGCAACCAATTTGTTTTTTATATAGATCATATGGTGTTTGGTTAAAAATGTACGGAGCATACATATTGAAATAACAAGCATATATTTTTGATGAAACATTTTTATGTTACATTTTAGTCTGTAATAAGTTATTATTTTACTCAACCACTCTAAATGAAGTCATCCATAATTTGTAATTATATGTTGTTCATATTTTATTCTTTTAATGTTCCACTTAGATGTACCTAAGTTGATCCCTGTATTATTCGCTTTTAGGAATTCTAAAGTGACAGCAAGATCAACTCTTGGGCTATCTCAAGTGAAAGTTGCCTAGACATTGTGTACACATATTTAGCTGTTAGTGTTCCTCAACTGAATTGGGAGCAGAAGATACAGTAATATTGTATATTGAATTAAATTTAGTATTGCACTAAGTTTAGTTAATATAGACAACTGTTACTGAATAGTACTAGGAACACTATACATGTTATCTGTGTAGAGCTAAGACGTGTGAGGTGGTTGAATCCACAACATCAATAACATTATTATAATGTAATGTAGTGTCTCTTATAAACTGTGTCATCATAGTGCCAACTTGCAGGTCAATCAAATATGTTAACTTCATTGCGTCATAAAGACGAACAATGTATTGAAATGATTATCAAACGATACTACTCAGAGCTGCACTTCACCACATACTCTTGTGACAAGTTTACTCTTACGAAGATATAATCGAGTTTCTTTACAGATGTCTGCACGGTACGAGGAGCCATGGTGAAATTCAGGATTTGTTGCATTATAATCAAGTTTGGTTTAATAGTAATTAGTAGAGTGTATAATAAAAGTAAATGTGCTTCAAATTTGTTTATATGCGAATTCATCCAGTCATGCGAGGCTGTTTCAAATGAAATGCGGATTGGGGCTGTATAATATCCAACTATCATTGTTTGTAATGGCTTTGCTTGGTATTACATCAATGAGGAAGTGCGCACATGACGTATGTTTTTTAACTGCTGAGGATGTAAATCACTTCGAAATACATAAAAAATAGTGTATGCGTATCTTCATACGGTGTTGCTGGTTCCAGTGTTTATAAGTGGGTTAATGTATTAAAAACGGCGATTGAAAGTGTGAATCATGTCTGAGGATAACTTTGCGGTAGTGCAAGAACTTATTTATCAAGATAGGCGAAATAAGCAACTGATTGATGAACTCAGGGTTCAAGCATGCGTTGCTCTACTTGAGCGATATGACAAAAACGGGGAAGCTTTTCTGGACAGTACGAAAGCTGAGAGCACCACTATCAATCTGGGAACCAGTCAAGTGGCATCGTTACCAAAACCAAAAAACTCAGTGTTGTCGTTTTTGACATTATCGAGCTCAAGGCTGTAGAGCTAATTACTAGAAGCTTATTAAAGGATGTTCTGAAATCAGGAATAAGGACGAAACGGTGTGGACTTTTTCACTAGCTGTTTTATTTCTAATATAGTGCGAATATAACAACAAATAATTAAGCCTCGGTTTTACAGTGATTGACCCACCGTACTCTCCCGATTTAGTGTCAAGTGATGACCACTTTAAAAAACAATTTGGATGGCAAATAAGTTGTTCTCGGATGGAATTGAAGCATCAGTTGACAAATGAAAGAAGCCAATTGAAAAGCAGCGAGAGAAATGAGTTGTTGATTAGTAAATTTATGGAACCAAAAGCCACCCTGGATTTTATTTTGAAACAGCCTTGTATAATCCACATCCACAATGATAAACACACTAAACTCTGATAAAAAGAGATTCACAGTGTGCAAACTGGACATAAATTATAACGGATGGTAGTAATAATGCGGTTGAGAGATAAACACACTAAAGAACAGTGTCCTATATAAATTGAGGTGAAAATTAAAAATTGCATCTAAGTCCCTGAAATACTAGAACATGGCGACGAAAATGAATTTATACCCAAAAAAAATTCGAACCCAATTCTATGTAATTGTAACGTATTTTCGTCACAGTTTTTCTGCGTCCCTAATATTACTCACATGGGGAAAAGTGTTCGTTAAAATTCATGTACCTAGTAATAACCAAAGTATAGTAGTAAATAGTTATATATAAGACATGCGAATAAAAATAGGTACAGATCTGTAACCTACCATGATTAGCTCAAAAGCTTTCACTGGGCACAAGAGCTAGGTAACAATACTGCTTCAGAGTATGGATCACACACGAACCTAAAGTTCGGCACGTTGCATAAGGCTCCAGCAGAGTTAGGTGACTTGAATGTGCTTGCTAGAGACTGGATTTCATGATTTTATGCATTACGTAAATATTGTATGCAGCTCAAAATAAAACAATAATTTTCACGAACTAATAAAAATGAATCACATTGGCGCAAAGAAAATAGTGCATATTTTGCATTTTTGGAGTTTTTGTATGCATATTTAAGAAAGATTAGCATTTTATTAAATTTTTAAACCATTTTTATTGCAAAACAAGTTTCCAGTGGTAGTAATTGGAACAATCAAACAAATCAAATAAAATAAAAATTATAAAATAGAAACAGAACAAAAGAAAACAATAAAAATAGAAAAAAAAAACAAATAGAAAAAGAAAAGAATAAAAAAATATATGAAATACAAAAAAAATTGGGCCCCAAGTTTGTGAAATTATAAAACGTCGGCGGTGTTCAATTCAGCATTAATTGATAATGCAAGCACATTTTCAAGTTCAACAAATGAGATGTCGATTGTTGGCTGGGGAAAATGTTGAATTAAAGAAATTTCAATGATTGTTTGTGCATATATATGTGCATTTCTGACGTATTTTCATGCATATAAGTCCGGTCCGTATAGTTATTACCTACAGTAAATGGAATGAAAATGGCTAAATGGATATACATGTACATGAGAGAAATGAAACGTCGCCATCTTACACACAAATAACTTCAGCATTTTTACTTGAAAATTTGCAGACATATGGTGGTATACCTACTTGAAAAATGAAAAAAAGGTTTTCGCCTTAAGGCAAGTAACTAGTGCATTTACCACAAACAGTACTTCCCGAAAGGACATGTAACAGACTATTTATGCGACAATGGAAAATAAGTTAAAAACTAAATATTCTTATAATAACAAACTTGGCATTGCTGTTTAAAATACACGATATGTCTGCCTTTACTAAAAGAATTTTTGATTACAACTTCAAAAAAATACCTCCATAAATAAGGATGGAATTGCGTTGCGCATGTGCAAATTAATTGTAAAGATTTTTCTTGATTCGGGTGACAGAACTAGCTACCGAATGCAAAAAGAATGAACTAAGTATTTTGAAAACTGTAGGAGTAATTAAGGCTTCGGACATACGGCATGGATTAGGTGACCATAATAGGGCTTTCCAACATGGTTTGAAAAATGCGCTAATTATACATTTGAACGATGCACACCACAACTCAAAATCTGACGTGATCTTGGGAGATGTGTAATTAAAGGATTAACAAACATTTGTCACTTGTATTTATATTGTTGATTTTCAATAAATAAATAAGACCTTAATTCCTAGTTCCACAACCCACAGCTATGGTTAGCATGAAAGTCAAGCAGTACAGCAGATATCGGATTGGTGGGAGGACATCAATAAAACACTTGAAAAGCACAAAACAAGTGTTTTATGCTACCAGAACAACTAATATGTAAAAATGAGATTCAAAAATTATCACTAAGAAATAATTTTTTTATCGTGCAGTACAAAACAGCAATCCTGTGTTCAGTAGTTTCAATGTTGTCTCAACTTGAATCCCCACCACGTCCATCTGGCGCACGCGCAAATAATTGTAGTTCATTTTTCGTTAGTGCTTCCACATCTTCATGTTGGGGATTAAATAGCTACCAAATTTTGCCTCAATATTTTTTATAGAGATATAAAGGTTTATTAACAACAAAGTGGCGTTATACGTCCAGGCTGCTTCGGGAGGTTACGTGTTTTGTGTTCTTACTGTCTGACTTCTTGTTTGGTTAAAACTGAAGTTTGCGATATAGACACATTTCGATATCTCAAAAACATACACATATTTAACAAAAATACCTTTTTATTATATCGTAATCAAAAATCGTTTCGTCTTCATTACTCATTTTAACGCAGTTTTTGTTTTGTTTACTTGATCACCGTAAAATGAAAAGTGTTCCAACAAAACTATTGCATAGACATATGGTATGTATGTATGTAGGAACCTTTGATTATATACTACTATTCCCGCGCGAAGTTTATACCGTAAGCATCAGGGGTTGGAACCGGAACCGTTATTTAAGGTATTATGATAACCGGACCGGTACCGTTATTAGTGCCAAGGATTCGGTATTTTTCGGTTCTGTCTCTCTTGTAGGAAGAGTAGACACGTTACATTTCAAGGTAGCAAAGGAAACGATCTAGAGAATTCGAGAGTCAGCATATCATACTTTCTGGAAAGTACACGTCATATCGGCTCTAATTCTTTATCGCCGATGACCGATTCCTTTATCGACTTGATGACCAAAAATAAAATCTTGCCTTCTGAACTACGTTAAAAGTTGTAGAAATTGCATTTTAAAGTGAGCGAAATTGAACCAAAAACCGTAGAGAGTTGAAGAGTGTATGAGGAAAGCAATAGTTGAAACTACAGCTACGTAGAAAATGACAGGCAGTTGACAGAGGTGAAACGAAATGCGTAAGCTAAACATAAGTTTCAATTATACCTAATGAATATATTTATGCAAAAGAATAATGTACACACTTTAATTTTGTGTATTATTTATTTTCTATAATTAATAATTTATATTTTTAAATAATCATTTTATTTATTTTTGTTGGAACTCTTAAAAACCGAAAAAAAAACTAACCGAAACCGGTACCGGAACCCTTAAAAATAATTCTACTAAAAAGTGCGGAACCGGAACCTATATTTCATATGGGTTCCAACCCCTGGTAAGCATCATGCGCATAATGATTTGGTACAAACATAAGTCTATCTCTTTTTTTGGAACATACATTTTAAGTGAATGCGTTATCCATCAGTAGTACCTATACATATAATCAAAGGTAGGAACCATTGAATTTATAACTATCTATAAATTCAATGGTAGGAACCAACTTCAAATATTCACTACATCTCCGGGAAGACTTGCGCATTCTCAGAAAAATTAATTTTTTACAAATGGTAGTTGGTGTTTGGATTTCGGTGTATCTATATCTAGTGACTTTAGCGATTCAGAGTAAGAGCGAGACCTCTGGTTGCAGCACATTGAAATTAATACAGGTGGGAGAAAACCGCCATTTTGTTTATTCACAATGGCCCTGTGATGTGTCACGTTATTTTACTTAGTTACCTACAATAGTACAATGAGATCAAAAATGAGTTGCTGTCGAGTCACCTTTGGAACTTTTGTTTACATGGGAAATCATACTTAAATTGAACTTCCAAAGGCGACTAGACAGCAACTCATTTTTGATCGCCCGATAGCATATGTGGCACCCGCTGGTGGCGAATTTAACGTAGGATACGGTAAAACAAGTACATTATTGCCCGTTGATTAATGTTTACAGGTTTACTCCTTCGAAAAACACTTCGTTCGTCCAGAGTTTCTTGTTGTGTTGTTAGATTCAGTAATTCATAGAGACATTAATACATATAATACGGACTCTTCTGTAAAATTCATTGGGTTGGTAACATTCTGCAGCTTTCCGAACAGACCATATAAGTCTCAAAGAAGAGAAAATTGGATGAAGAAAGTATAAGTACACTTACACATCTGTTTTCCTACTATTCTACATATTTTTCTTTTGTGTGCAATAATCCAATTTAAGGTTATTATTAAGGTGTTAAAACGACCCCTTGTCCGACTTGTTGCGTACATATGGTTTCTTGATATTTTTCACCCCAAAAGAAATATTAAAAATTGTGTTTCTGGGGACAATAATTCCTGTCAGAAATCGTGTTACGAAGTAATTTGCACGTTTATTATTAGAAACGAAACTGGAAAAACAGTATACTAATTTTTGAAAACACCTTGTACATCGAAACACAAAATAAATTTACATAACCCTATTTCGTTAAATGATATGAGGCTTGATTAAAGCTAGTAAAAAATGGAAAGTAAGTACTCGCTTCCCATCATTCTCATCGTGAGTAGCAGTAGTACAAAACCAAAATCGGTAATAAAACTTCTGACCGGTGCAACAGTAGTAACTGAAACCGAGAACGAAGTCTCCTGCACTTGGCAAATCGATACAAAGTACTATACAGCAGATGTCGATATTTATGGAATAACAGACACATACGATCGTACGAGTGAATTTAATAATAATGTAGATGCACTAATTATTCACATGGATAGTAATAAAGACACGGGATTGGAGGATTTGGTAAAGTGGCAGTCACTCGAAAACGATTGTGATCCTGAAATTAAGCTTCTAATATGCAATTATTGTAATGCTGAGACTAAGGTTAAAAAAGCAAATGCTATAGACTGGTGCTTGAAGCATGGGTACGAGTTGATCGAATTATATCCGAATGTTGTCAGATGCGAGGAGACAGAAGAGGACGAGATAATTAAGGAGAAGGTGGGAGTGGATCGTATTATTGAAGCGCTACAAGCACATGTATGGCCAAGTTTAGTATTGAAAAGCAAGCATGAGAATGTAAGTAGGCGCAACGAAGACATTGAGGAATCAAGTTCGGTAAATTCTAATCAGCTAAAAGAGGGAGGTTTCTTAACAAACGAGGCTACCGATGATTTTACTGAATTATTTTCTCAGTTACACATGATCCAACAGTCTATGAAATCATTACCAATAAGCCAACGAAAACAATGTGCAGAACAAATGGTGACAGCTTTTTGGCATGCAATTGGGGGCGACGAAGAGGAAATATCTGATATATAAAATAATCGTACAAATTTATTATAATTATATATGTTTATGATAATTATATATGTTTATGATAATATCACATATGCTTAAGAATAGGTAGATGTATTGTTTTTGCAGATTAAAGATAACGTCTAGTTTTTATAAATCAATATTGCTTAAATTTACATTGTAGGTTGTTCGGAAAGTTTAAAGGTTAATACTTGTATTTAATCTGTGTTATACGCGATCAAAGATCAGTTGTGGTTGAGTCCTTTAGAATTTTTCTTTACATAGGAAATCGTACTTAACATGAACTTCCAAAGGCGACTCAACAGCAACTCGTTACTAGAGTGTCCACACTCTAGATTATAGGCTATGAAAGAGTAGCAGTGGTGTATCTATCACGGGCAACAATTAGGGGAAAATCACAAGCACAAGTTAGATACCTACAAAGAAAATATAACGCACTCTTTGGTACCATACTTTGATTTAAATTCGCGCGTTCTTTCGTAAAACGTGATCCTACGAATCATGATCGCGAAGTAGCCGAAAGAAAGCGACTATGGCGAATTATGGTAAGTTGTCGCCACTGTCGTGGAGCAGGTCACCCGTCTGGAAACTGGAATCGTGTAAACACGCCTTTACAACTGTCGTTGATTTGTTCCACCCTATGAAAGTACGAATTGGCATCACTGGTGACTGATCTATTATAAATCTAAATAAAATTTTTGAGGTTACAATACAATTCTAAATATTTAAAAGTTAAAGGGTGAAAATATAATTTTAAAGTGCTTCAACATTTTTCCAAAGAGAAACAGACTAAAACAAACATTACGCGAGAGCCTTTTCTAAGATACGGTCACATTTCTAAATCTGTTAAAATGACCAAAGTGTTTCGTGCGGTTTGAAAACCAAAATACCTTATGGGAATGATAGGATTTTAATTTTATTTGCAATGGGTAATTTAAAATTGGAGATGGTAAACAAAAATCACCTGTTGATCAGCTGTAGATGGCATCGCATTTCCATGTTTGTTTTGGAGGGATCATTTACCGGCGTGTCGATGGCCGTTAAATCGCGGGAAATGTGGCCGTTAGCGCGCCCGGGAAAACGCACATTATTTACACGTACCCCATAGAGGTATCGCCATACTTCATCAATTGGACAATTTTCTATAACTCTAAGGAAATATGAAAAATGTTAACAAATCTCCAGTAAGTATATTTTGTTCTAATCAGAGGTTAAAAAAATAGCACATTATTTTTCAGCATTGAAATCAAGCCACAATGGAAGAGCCTGAAAATGAGCCTCCTTTTCGAGTTTTAAGAAGGGGGACACTCACTCCGGTCGTCACAAACATTCACGCACAAACACCAGAAAGTAAACTGTCAGCAAAATCACCAGACGAATTCATAATTCAACAGAGAGGCCGACGCTGTAAGCCGATTGTATGGTCTCCAGTGGAATATAACAAAAAAGATTTATTTGGACCGCCTCGTGATAAAACACCAGAAAGAGTCACACGTGGAGTGGAAATTAATCCAAAATTGAGAAGAAGATTGGTTATGAGTCCCGACCGGAATCTCACGTCATCTTTAGGAGACGCTATTGCGAAGAAATTGAAGGCATTATCATACAGTAACGATGAAATCACCCAGGAAGGTACATCCGATAATTTGTAAGCTGTTGTTTTGAAATATTAAGTAGTTAAGTATCCCACTATATTTTATTCTACCGACTACATTATCTAAAAACTAGTGTAAAATGTAATTTATAGAAATAAATCGGCGATGTATGTGGTAATAAAAATGACAAAAACTTCTTTTAATGGCTCATCCAATTGCAAACATTCGATTACTTAATTTACCTCTTCTAAGGAAACAACTATAGAATTATGTACTTGGTGTAAGTTATTTCTGGAAAATTTTTAAACATCACACTACATTGGCTATGCATTTACCAAAAGGGCCCAAAGTTGGGAGTGAACTTGTGTAGGGATGGATTAAATAAAGGCATTCATTGATACATTTAAGAGAAGGGTGTTCAATTCGAACATTTTATTAATGATGTTCTTTTACATTCCCTGAGACTATTCTGATAGTGATAGTGTAGATTTTCTATACGCACATTATTTAATTTTAATCACTTTGTAGTTGAAATTCAGTTTGATTCATTTCTACTTATAGTGTAAAAAGGTGGAACGTGTTTTAAATTGTGAGAGAATTTGTGATTATAGTAAGGGCATTGTTATTTAAACAATGGTAAGGGTATAAACGATATGTGAAAAAATCAAAATTAATTTATAGATTCTAATTTAATAACGACCATAAAAGAGACTAATCTGCCCCTTGAAGTTAAGGTAAAAGTTCCAACAACAGTGTCAAATTTCATGTTCGGCCACGTACGTGGGAAAGAGACAGCAAATAGGTGTAGTTTATCAATTGTCATACTTCTATATCTACTTGGAGTTTTCTTACCAAAATCACGACCCTCGGCGTTTTTATCAAAACGCAAGACAAAGTATAGTATGTGCGAGTTTATGAATAATGTGCGATTAGAGGTAATCGAACTCTAAAGGCCAAAATGAAGGGGATGAAATGCGAGTGTGGACTGTACTGCAGTCGCCGGAAAACTTATTCAATATAGGTACTCTTATTTGAATGTTTATTTTTCAAAAACATTTGAAGATAGACATATATACCTATATCCTATATGCTCCCACGGACTTGTTTTGTTTGTAGGAAATTTAGTCCTATATGTATATAACAATGCCTATACCTTTCATCGCATTTTCCAACGACGATGTGTGCGTAGTCACTATCACTGTTCGCAGTTCGCCCGCACGTCTGCCTGTCCGTCCGTCTGAGAGATTAACTACAGTTTTGAATATATAATATTTAGTGCATCCTTTTTGTATTCGGAAGCTTACAGCTCAGGCACCTGAGGCAAAAAATATTTTTTCTGCGAATGCCCAAACTACACATCATTAACTTTCCTATTTGTAAAGATATTTTTTTAATAGAGATGCTTCTATTCTAGTAATAGTAAGGTAAACACATCGCATATTGTAAAAATCAAATATGCGAATTAGCATACAGCTCAATTGAAACTTTTTTTTATTTATGAAGATATTTCGTTGAATTTTTAACCATATAGACACTTTTAATAAAAACAAACATATATACTACATAGGTACTTGTATAGTTAATCTGTGATAGTACTAATCAAATGTGCGATGGGTAGTGCGCCTCCGTCTTGATATAACATTAATATTGTGTACCATTGATTTTGTAAATTTAATTACGTGCTTTATTCATTACAACCAATTAACAATATATATACCAGTCTTGAAATGAATTGATTTTTAACAGTAATTATTATCACTTACAAGTTACACATTTTATAACATAACTCAAGCGCATCGAAGTTGGAACTGAATTCGAAACACAATTGCATGTTACGTCACATCCGCATTCGTTCTTTATCACCGATGACTAATCTTTCATGGCGCCTCGATGTCTATGGGGATTTCTGAAATATTCGCTACAATATCAAGTTATCGCATGGCGCAGTCAAAATAAATGGGGTAATAAAGACGAAAGAGAAATAATATAGGAGAAAAAGAGGTAAATTGAAAATAGAAATAAAAAGCAGAGTTATATGTACTTCTACAAATGTTTTAAACAATGCTTGTACATACTATTGGCACAGCTTACTTGGTGAAGACGCTCTACAGGTATTGGAGACCTTGAATGTATCCTTGAGGATAAGAAAAATAAAAGCAAAATTTTAGGCAGAAAATTAACTAAGAGAACTCAAGGAATAAATGCGAAGAGTTTGATACCTTTGTATCTCGTTTCGTTTCATGGCATACGACAATCGAGATTGTATATATACAATGGTATATATTACACCGAAAAAATGAAGATACAAACGTAAAACATATCACATTTTCGGTGGAATTTGTGCGAGATAAACTCACGCTAGCGATGTCTAAAAATGCCAAACATTTTTATCAACCTGTACGATGAGATAGATTAAAAAAGAGGTCATCGATATATTGGTGCTTTTTAGAGCCGAATCAAATTTCTTTTCGCTTTTTAGATTATTTCAACAACACAACTCAAGTACATTCTGACAACAATCAAGCAAAAAGAAAAAATATATAAAAATATAAAAAAATACCCCTAATCTAATTAGTCAAGAAGGTAAATCCAATAATTTTTAAGGTGATATTTTGAAATAAAATGTAGCTAAGTATCACAACATATTTTATTATATTTTATTCTCTAAAAACTATTACAAAATGTAATTTATAGAAATAAATCAGGTAAGCGATTTATGTAGTAATAAAATGATAATTCGAAAAATTCTTTTAGTGGCTAGCCCAGTCGCAAACATTCCATCACTTACAGTTGATTTACTTCAAAAATTTATATAAACGTCCACTCTCCAGATATCAATCAGAAACTAGAAAATTCACAATTGATATTTGCGAACGACAAATATTTACAAATATTTAGTTCAGACATTTACTACTCGATTGGAGTTTTTAAATTACATCAATGGTCCATACAATACAAATAAATAATACTTTTAACAGTACAGTTTTGAAAAATCAACAGCATTTAGGACTAGAACGTAGCAAAAGAAAAAAGAACAGTACATGAAGACAAATTGTTTACCTACTGGCTGTAGTACACCCTATAATATAATGTTTTGGATCGCCATAAGGAATAGGAATTATCAAATTTGAGAAAGTAAACTCCCTGCCCGGGATACTGGTGTGAACCTGCATAAACCTCAGTCTGGCAGTCTCGTCTATATACGGGAACGATTTCCATAATAACTGGTTTGGGTGATGTCTCATTGGCAATGGACCCCGCCTCGAAATCGGACGGATTTATTATTTCATCATCCTCTAAATCGTCCAAGTCTTGTATATCTTCATCGTCACTTTCAGAGACGTGTACTGAAACTTGGTCTGTTGTAGGGGTTCCGTATTCAAAGTACACCCCAAAACCTGCAACAAAGCAACATCAACTATAAAGGAAAGTAAAATAATGTGGCGGTTTTGATTTCCATTCTTGGCTTCAAAAACTACCTTTTTATCAAAACTTTTAGCAAAAGTATTCAAAAACTTCCTAAATATATTTAAATACTTTCCAAAAGTACACAAATAAAAAATACTTCTAAAAGTATTTATGCTTTCAAATACAAATACAATACTAATATAAGTATTTAAAAACTTCAAATACTTGGTACTTCCCAGTTCAGTCTATGTACCTATAATAATAATAATATAATAAAAAAAAGTAATTTCACAAAAATGTATTTAGCATGCCACAATCACACATACCAATATCGTAATGATCAGTAGCGAACTCCCAAAATATTCGAGCTCCATCTTTATGTGTTGGTACCCTTACTGTTACAGTTTCACCGTGACCGACTCTAACCACGCTGTCACCTTCTGCTTGAGAAATAGTCTGTTTGAATGCCTGAATATCGGCCCTGGTCCACATACTAGCGGGCACCAAAGTTTCTTCTAACGAATCCACACTATTGGCATTTACAAAATCATCCTTTACACAAGCATTCTGTAATAATCCAAATACTGATAGCCGACCAAGTAAGCACATACCAATTCCTCTGTAGCTTCCAATTGTTTCTTGCCATTTCGATTTTCGTTTGTTATGAGTTCTCCTCTTTGTGCTGCTTGTAGTTGCTGCATATATTGTATGTAATGCTGTTCTTGTAGCTGCTTAACAAGTAGTCCCTGTTTCTCAGGATCTCCTAAAATACTAACCAAGTCAATTTATTTGTCCCATTAAAAAGAATGTGAACCTGGATATTGTTGTTCGGCATAATTCCTAAACTGTTCGTAAGTTTGCTCGTTGAGGGCTTGTTGTATTTGCCTCTTAATCGCTTCTTCCCTTCGAATTTGTTCTTGTAAAACCTTTTCTTCCGCTTCCCTCTTAAGTTGTTGTTCGTGTTCGAGGACTCTGCGCTTAGTCTCTTCCTTCCTACATGAAACAATTAAATTTGCTTATAACAACAAATGTCGGAATGCATTACGCGATTCTTTCCTGTTCTTTTTTTTCCATGCGATGTGCCTCTAAAAATGCTGTGAACAAAGGGCACCTCCTACTCAGTAACTCTATAAAACCAGATCTCGCTTGATTGACATCTAACTTTCCCAGCTTTTGCCATGCAACCCGTCGATCACGACCGACCACATCTAAAGCACCCAACGGAGGTAATTTGGAAATTGCTTCTGATAGAGGACCATGCAAGACCTGTTGAGAAAAAGCTACCAACGATAGTTTATCTTCGTAACTAAGATGAATAGCTTTGCCTTCTTTTTCTATCAACAGACATTAGTGGGCTTAACCTAAAAGAAGAGCAACTTACCCTTGTAAAAACTTAACGCTAACTTATAGACTTCCTCAATAGATAAATCGAAGTTAGATATTTTTTCGCCATTTCTTTCGAGGGTTTCCGGTGGATCAGCATCTATATTAATTTGCAAACTATTAAATTTTTCTTCTACCTGTATGTTGCCACCTACGGTCGCCATTGTTGATATTGACGACAACATTTACAGCTGTCATTGCTGTCAAAGTACTCCCAAAACACCAAAATATTTAAATTTAGAATTTTTAGGAGTGACAAAATTTATTAGCACTAAACTTAAATTAATCAAAATACGAAAATTCCGTTGTCATTACGTAAATATTCTTAAAATAACTTTCTTTGTCAAAGCAATTGAATAATCAATAGTCAAAGATAACTTTTAAGATTCAGTGGAAATTTCTATTAACAGTCTGACACTAATCAGGTATAAAAAGGGATATATGAGGTACAGAATCCATATGGAAAAAAGACAGGTTGGTTTACTCATTGAAACTTTTTTCCGGCGCTATGGCATTGGGACGCAAGACCTTAGGACACGAACAGTACACCGCCAGGGGAATTGACCGCAGACATTAGGACGCAGACATATTGGGACGCGCGTAGATGTTGGAATGCTGACATCAGAACGCGAGCATCATGTATGTCACCTTACAAAGTAGAGATTATGTCGCAGAGGTAGGACAATCAAAGGTATAATTAAATTAAACCGATGTTATTTTACTTATCTCATCTGTATATGCCTTTATTCATTGGTAGTCTATGTGTCCTAATGTCCGCCTCCCAGTGTCTGCATCCCAATGTCTGCGTTCTAATGATCGCGTCCTACTGTCCCCGTCCCAATGTCTGCATCCTAATGTCCGCGTCCAAATGTCTACGTCCTAATGTCTGCGGGTTTGCGGTTTATTGTCTTGCGACCCAATGGCGACGTCCTATTGTCTGCGTCCTAATGTATGGCAGCCTAATACCCGGTCACTATTGAAACTATCCTCTCTGACTAGCCGAAACCGGAAGAAAGAATAGATAATTTTCACAGGAAACATTCCCGCTAAATACAAACATATTGAACTTTTTCTGTTTTCTTTTGCCTTCCACTTTGTATGTACAATCAGCAGAGATACAGTTATTTTAAAAAGCTGCAGCACGACTTTTTTTTAAATAAAAGAGAATAGTTTTCGTTATAATGATAATAGTAAAATCTTGTAGTTGTTCCCCTAGTAGGACTATAAATTTTATAGTCCATTAAGATCTTTTAGATTATTAAACTTACATTGGTTAAAAAATTAAAAAATATTATTTCAAATACGTATTCCAAACTCTCAAGAAACCCAAAACCCCCCAACTCCTAAAATCTCACATTGAAACTTTTGGTACCTACTTGGAATTTCGGAATTTTGACATTTTTGTTAATATTGTAATTTTTGAAATAACAGTTGTCTAAAATATAAGATCTCTTTTTTGGGTATAACTTAAGGATAGGATGGTATATAATATTATCTAGCCTCCTTTGGTATGATTGTAGTAGAATTTGAGTTTACGATTTTAGAAATTTGATTTACTAGGATCTTTTTTAGATTTCTGGAATCTTTGGTTTAACGGGCGACGCTAAATAAAATGTTGTTGCGTTTTATGCTATAAATATTTACAACATATACAAAATGCGGGGATTTCATTGGTTGGCCGTTTTGACCAATGAGGGTGTAGTCCGTTTTAGTTTGCTGCCCGATGTGCATGCGGCCCATTGTTAGGAATTTGGAATTTTTCGATTCTTGAAATCATGAAAATTTCAGTTTTTTTTAAAATTTTGAGATGTGATTTTTAGACTTTGGAGTTTTTAATGTTAAATTTCGAGATTTTTGAAACTTTATGATTTACAAAATTTCGGTAACTTGAGATTTTGAAATTTTTGTAATGTTGGAGTTTAGGGTATAAAACCCAAAATTACAGAAACCCCAAAATTTCAAATTCCAATGTCAAATCCCTAAAATCACAAATCCCTAAATAATCTCGAATTCCGAAGAATTCAAATTCCAAAAAAGATACATTCTTAAAATTTTAAAGATACCAACATTTCGAATTTCCCGACATTCAAAAATCCTAAACTCTCAAAATTTCAACAGTTCCAAACCAAATTCAAATTTCAAAAAAATGTAAAATCTTAATTTCTTAAAATTATAAATTTTAAATACGTTCTGTATTCACGATTGCTGCTTTCACCTTATGCCAATGAACTGTAGGTGGCCATGTTTTGGGTGCACAAGGTTTCACTTTATGATCATTATTATCCATTCAACTAAATTAGTCCGGGAAATAGAGACTGAAAATTGACCATTTCCTGTAAAACGAGAAGTGGTTCCAATTTTTTTTGCATGTCATGCAAGAATCCAAGTTTTCGACCTCCCACCCCTTGTGCTTCCCCCGTACCACCCTTAAAACCAAAGAAATTTGGTTGGTTTTTTTAGTTTTTCAATCATATCTTTTTATAGGTTTATTTTACAAAAAATATTGTCATCAGTTTGATATACACTACTTTTTTGTGAAATGTTTATTAAAAACGATATAGAGCTTCAGGGTTGCTTATATTTTTAAGAATTCTAAGATTTGTATGTAGATGTTTTAACCAAATTTTATACTTTATCTCTATAATTAAGAGTTTTATGTGAAAATATCTTGAACTTATCGTGATATACATTCCTCTACGCTGCACCCCTGCCAAAGGGGATGCATAATAATTCAACTTTCAACCCTTGCTAGTGGAGATATTTGAATCACTGTGAGATTGTAGGGCTTTCTAATATGTTTGAAACAAAAAAATTATCTCTTAATTATAGAGATAACGTATGAAATTTGGTTAAAACATGTACATAGAAATTTCAGAATTCTTAAAAATATAACCAACTCTCAAGTTCTATATCTATTAATAAACATTTCACAGAAAAGTAGTGTATATCAAAGTTGTGTAGAATTTTATGGTCTACAATTTCTGATAACAATATTTTTTTCTAAAGTGAACCATTAAAAAGATATGATTGAAAAACTAAGAAACCAACCAAATTTCAGGGGTTTTGGGGGTGGTACGGGGGAAGCACAAGGGGTGGGAGGTCGAAAACTTAGATTCTTAACCACCAGATGACTGTCTATGACATGCAAAAGAAATCGGAACTACTTCTCATTTTGCAAGTTAAAACCCTCTATCCCCTGGACTAAATACTCCGTATCTGGAACGGCATCGCCCGTAAACAATTTATTGTTGTAAGGGTGCCGTGACGAGAGAGATGGGTAGAGGTAGGTACCTTGAAGGCACAAGAACAAGCACAGCATTTTAGGCTATTGCAGAATTTCGAGGTCAAAAAGGGAACTATGATCCTTTAATCAAAGAGTAACCATAATTTACTCTTTGCTTTAATACCGGTGTCTGCTGTTCAAGAAGTGTGGATAGTACATTCCCCCTGTATATAGTATTTCCACATAATAAATATGTATACTTGGGAGCTGGGACACGCTGTAAGTAAATACTAACCTCACTTTTCTATTTCTATTTCATGTTATTTATGTAAACATTTGTTGTTTGTTCTTCGTTTCTAATGGGTAAGCACAAAGAAAAAAAGTCCAAAAAGCACAAAAAAGAGAAGAAACACAAAAAAAGGGAACGTAAACATTCATCATCATCATCGTCAGAATCGTCTTCTGATGAGTGGGTCGAAAAACATCCGAAACCGTCCACCAGTTCATCAGACATGGTTAAACCATCGATACAAACCAGGGATGAGTGGTTGTCTTTACCATCGAGTTTTACCTCAAGTTCAAATTTGGAGAGAAGGCTGGAGCGACAGTTGAACAAGCGATTGGAAAAAGAAAGAGATACTTACAATCCTAGGGAAAACGTTAGAGAATTAAATCCTTATTGGAAAGACGGAGGTGATGGGTTACCACAATTTCAAAAACCATCCGATGATTTGCCATTTAATTACAAACCGACTAATATCAGAATACACACTTCTAATTGGCGCAAGGAAATGCCAGAGCAACCGGTAGTACATTCTACAATTGCCAGTGAAACTGAAGAACAGTTCACAGATAGCGACTTAAATGCAATAGCCGCTAAATTAGTAAAAGCCGAAATTATGGGAAACACAAGTTTAATTGCCGAGCTAAATGCGAAACTGGAACGCATGAGAAATTTCAAAACAGATAGTTCACAAAAGGATGAAATTTTACTAACGGAGACCGATTCCAAAGGCTACTCTAGGCCGTTAAGGAAATCTGTCGATCATGGAGAGTATTCGGGAGGAAAACGGAAGAAACAGAAGGTAGAAACACACAGTGATAATCAGCGGCTGCGTTACTTTCCAGATGATGATAAGTATTCACTTAAGCAAATGTTTGAGAACGAAAGGTTTTTGTCAGGGGATGACAATGACAAAAGTTTTATGGAAATGATTGGGAAAGTTAGTAAAAATGACGATTTAGATGATTTGTTTACTGACAGTATTAGAAGGGAATCGCCGAGCAAGATCGATAAATACAAACGAGACAAGGCAATAAGTGACCATCGAGAAATGAATGAAGCTTTAGATAACTGTGTCAGTTGTTTACAATCGGAGAAAATGTTGAAGCATCTTATGGTTTCAATGTCTGATACGGTTTATCTTAGTCTTCCTCATCACGAACCGTTAACTGAAGGCCACTGTTTGCTTGTTCCCGTAAGGCATGCCTCATGTTCAACGCAACTGGATGAAAATGAATGGTCCGAAATACTTAGTTTTCGTAATGCTCTTACGAAAATGTTTATGGCGAAAAATGAAGACGTTATTTTCTTTGAGACCGCTATGTTTCTACATCGCCATCCTCATATGGTAATGCATTGTATTCCAATAGCGAAAGAACAGGGTGATTTGGCACCGATCTACTTCAAAAAGGCTATAGACGAGTCGGAAATGGAATGGGCCTCAAATAAAAAGCTGGTGTCGTTAGCCGGACGAGACATCCGCCGTGCCATTCCCAAGGGATTACCGTACTTCTCCGTCTCATTTGGTATGGACGAAGGATTTGCCCATGTAATTGAAGATCAAAGATTATTTCCGACTAATTTTGCTCAGGAAATAATTGGCGGAATTTTAGATTTACATCACAGTAAATGGCGGAAACCAAAACCACAGAAGTTTGAAGAACAAAAACTGAGAGTGCTAGAATTTACAAAGCAATGGACTAATTATGATTGTACAGTAAATTAAGTTTTCATTTAATAATTTTGAAAAAAATGCACAGTAGGTATGTATAAAATAAATAGCTAAGAGTTTAAATGATTTATTCCTAATAAAACGTTAGGGAATGGCTCAGAATTTAATTCCCTTAGCAAACTCTGTATGAAGACCTTGCACATCCAGTAGTGTTCTTCCCTAAATTACCTCAGAGGAACCAGGTAGAAACCTCAGTGATGAAGAAATGGCCGAGATTGGCCTGTCATATCCATAAAGTTCTGAAGGAGAAGGAATGCTAACCAATAGCAAGTCAACAGATCCAGCTCAAGGGGCTCTCACACTAGCGAAAATACCTTACAGATGACCAGGCGCATACACTGGCACAACCTTGGCATACATTTTCAGTGGAGATTTTGAGGATGTGCCAGTTGCACAAAAAAAATCCAGGATTATTGTTTAATCCGATATTAAGACATTTGATTGGCTTTATATTGCAGTAGGCAGCCAATCAAATGTCAAAATTCTTGTTTAAACCTGTTTAAACTCAGATTTGGCAAATAATGTAGGATTTTGATTATAATTCGCTTTCCTGCAACCGGCCGTGAGTTTATTTCATTTTGCTGAAGAAATGCAACATACAAAGGCATGCAAATGAGTAACTTATATATTTAATAAATCTTTTGTGTACACACATTAAACTAAATCTGGTAAAACAATTAATACTACCTCATTTAACATATGGTGATGTGTGTTATCAGGGACTCAAAAAACAATTGTCTTATAAAATACAAAAAATTCAAAATCACTGCATACGTTTTGCGTGTAATCTTAAACGTAGTGTGATCATATACAACCTATACTGAAACATCATAATGACATAATATGCTAAATATGAGAACTAATCGAATATACCACATGCTAAGACTTTTGCATAAAATCATTCTTAATCGAATACCGCTTTATCTCTACACAAACTTTCGGGCACTCAGTAGTTTCCATTGTTACGGTACTAGGACTTCAAATATTTATATTCCTAAGGCTCAGACAAGCATTGGAGCATCGTCCTTTTATATACAAGCGGCCAAATTGTGGAACAAGCTGCCAGAAGATGTTAGACACACCAGGTCCTGTAATGGTTTCGATCGCAAGTGTTTTTGTTTGTTGCAGAACTCTGAACATGTTTTTTTTTATGTTTAATGTGTAAATTTATACGTAGAGAGCTATTACGTTTTTCGTTTTTCTTGTTATACTGTTTTACTCACTTTTTACTTTGTTTTTACTTTTTTTTTGTTATATTTACTTTGTATTTCATAATATTGTTAACTTGTTTTGTTATATCTGATGCGACCAAGTTTGTAGAGGGGGGATACTAATGGCCCTATGGCTTCTCCTATCCCTTAATAAATTTATATTATTATTATTATTATGTATCAAATGACACAAGCTACAAGAAAATTACTTTTGCTACAGTCGTCTAAGAGCCTATATATAGCATTTTTGCACAAGGTAATTTTTTCGCACCTTAAACCCTACCACATCTATATTTGTGAAGTTGATCAGCTTTGCCGAACACCCGGTATCTAGAAGAGTTTTTAGTTGGGCGCTTAGTTACTAAGTAGTTTCTGAATTTACTTACTTGCACTAGGAGGTGAGGAGTGAGCTTTGCGTGTTTTCATTTTGTTTAATTGCTTGTCTTATCGACGATAACACACTTATGCTAAGAAGTGAATTTATCAGTTTTTCAACCGTTCCTATAGCAATATTTTACAGCCGCCGAAAGCTCGCTAGAGAAGAAAAGAGCAAATTAATATTTTAGAATTTCAGATATGATAAGCCGTTATATTAGCAGGTTTTGTTTTTTTTATGGTAAATTTAATGCGAGCATTAGAACTGATGCAAGGTCATGCAAGTTTAGAAAATATCTGCAACAGACATTTTTTTACCTTTTTTCTATCTTACAATGGATAGTGTAAAGATATGATAAAAGCGTCCTAAAAAGTGAAACTTTTCGATTTTCACCCTGTATCTCAAGAAAAAACGTAGCTAGATTGATTCTGTTTGTAATATTAAAAGTTTCACAAACTAGTGGCACAGGGCGCGAAAACCGCAAGTCTTTTTATCTTTAAATACACTGAGATACACTGCAGTCTCAACCAAAATAGGACACACGGTATATGTTGCTGTGTTCCCCACGTTAGGCGCCAAATAATAATGCTGTGTGCACATGGTCCTTAGGCCAGAAAGCTCTTTACTTTTGTTATTTAGCACGGGACAAGACTTCTCCCCAGCACAGAGGAAAGATTCGACTCGCTGCTCTCAGTTAACATGTCTTCTAACAGATAGTGGATCAAACCAAATACCTACCTACCTTAAAATCCGAACAGAACTGCAAAATTTTGAATAATTATTTAAAATGGACCTTGGGCAAGCATCCAATCCAAACACAGGTAAATTACAAGTGAAGTCGTTAGAATGAAACACACAGAAATTAATATGAAATTTACAAAAGTTCGATTTCATTCTAACACACTCAGGAAAATGATACAAAAAAACGCAAAAACGAATTATTACAAAAAGACTAAAATTAAAACTTAATTACTTACATTACATGTCCGTGACTTGTAATCCAAATAACAGATATCTATACATAAAAGACAAAATTACAAATTTCAATTCAACAATTACACTTTGAACACACTTAATTGAAAACACACTCGTGGGGGCGCCGACAACCCCTTTTCTTTGAAGCACTGGTAGTAGATGGTCGAAACTTTACGACAATCCTCCAGCACGTATAAACGTGTCATGTAGAATAATAATTAGCCGTGAGCTCGGCTTCCGGCTTTACAAACGGAACTTCTTCGATTTTCAAATTTCAAAAAAACGTAATACTGCCCTGACTCTTGGCTTAAAGCTGATTTCAATTTCAATGACGTAGTTCTGATCACAAATTTGCATAAAGCGAATTAAATCTTCTGCTTCACCAAGACATATATAACTGCGTACAGCGAATTTTAAATTGACCGCACTTGGGCCTTGAAATTGACTTAAAAGCTGATTTCAAACTTCCAACAAACGTAGTTCTTCGATGACTGTTGCTAAAAGCGACGCTATACTTGTGCAAATCCTATTTAAGGCGAAACCCTTCTTCCGAAAATCAAAATTATAACAACCAATTATTACACAGTTGACAACAAAATCTATCCCTGCTACGTACGAAAATAGACCGAAAAATAGGCCGAATAATTTTACTAAACAAATTCTTATCAGACATTAATACATCATACTAGGAAAAATAAAAATCATCTCTTTTAATTAAACACAGAAAAGGCAACAAATGACATCCAGCTGTCAATTAAATTAAGCATTATACAATTCATATAATGGATAACAGATAAAAGCAAACAAAATGCCCGGAAATTCTACGTTAAATAAAATAAAAAGGTAAACAAAAACAACCTTTTGCAAAAATGCGCTAAAAAGTAGGTGGGAGTAGTAAGAGTTTGATAATTTAATGATTGGGAAGCCTTTAAGTTTGTTTTATCTAAATTGCCCCCGAGTTTGGGTAAACTTACCACCTCAATTCTCAATATTTTGCAGAAAATAAAATCTTCTGCGAAGCGATGCGATGACCGATGATGCATTTTATATCATCCTCAGGATCTCAAGTGTTGGGTTAAGAAACAGAAGTTTGAAGTCTTTATTTATTTATCTTCAAAAAAAAGCATAGTACAAAATAAATAGCTTAGACTTTAAACGATCATTTCTAATTCACGTGCATAGGTTATTGCTTGCTCTGCTAACTCTCGTGACGGAATCGGCTCATCGCTTTTCTTAATTTCGGGAACAAAATGGAAGAAATTATCTACGCCCAGTTTCCACTTGCGCTAATTTAGGAGCATTAGTATCACATCGAAAAACATTTTTAATTCACCTTCGTTGTAAATTCTTGCACAGCTTCCGGTGTTTGTAGATTTAACATTCGGGCCGCATCCTTAAGGGAGATTTTCTCATAAGCTTTCTCCATACAAACGGCAATTTCCCCTCGAATTGTATCCAGTAAAATATCCATGAAGAAGTTGTAACTGTCAGCGGGAACGTTGCCTTTAGCTAGGAATATCTATAAGACAATGTTAAATAATCACCTCCAAAGGAATTTCATTTTTTACCTTATTATAACTACCTTCCATCAAGTACTGCTCGATAGATAATGGATGCCTGATATAAATGTCACTTTGTATATGATCCCCAGGTAACAATTCAAGTTCCGTGTGAAATTCGGCTACTCTATTTTGAGATAACAAAAATAATAAATTTAAACCGAGAAGTTGATATTTAAAGGCGGAATCAGGAAGTTGGTTTTTGTAGTCAAAATAGTAACACTTCAGTTGGGCCATGTATCTTTCAAACGAAGGAATATCGTGAGCGGCTATACTCCATTGGACGCCAATTTCTAATACATCTCGAGCAACGATTAATTCTTGTTTTGTAGCGCTCGCATTTGAAGTAGGTAAAAATACAAAATGAGTTAATTCCAACTGAAAAGGGTCCTATGTACTCGCTGTGCAGGATCAAAAGCAATTACTTACCTTTAATTCTTGGAGAAGTTTCTCACAGGTGCTTAAATTCGGATTTGAATTGTTCCATTCTGTTTTTAATTGCTCATATAAGGTAATAATTTCATTTATTCCGGGCATTTTCAATTCACAATTTTTGTATTATAATTCAGTGACAATTTATTTTAGTGAAATTGAAATTTGACAGTACGATTGTCAAATGTCAACTACCAGCACTGCACTGCATGTTCGTCTCAATAGTCTCTGGTTTGCCTACACGACGCCTGCACTAATCACAGAGTTGTATACAGGGTCATTTTTGACGAGCGTCAGTTAGAAATATATGGATTACCTTTGAAAATGAAACTAAACTGGATCAGGTTTTGGTACATGATGAATTGAACTAAAATATTTTCAAGATGGCTCCACTTCCGCAAATGCCGGAAGTAGCCATCAACTTTGCTATTTTAACTAGGTACCCCCCTATTTTTTCTACATTTTCGAATTCTACGTCGGATTTGGAGTACAACGATATCCCATAGTTAACCCTTTGCTCCAAGGGCTTCTTCGATATTCAAGTTTTTATGTCAATAATTGAATTTGCAGGGGTAATTTTAAAAATTTATTATTTGAAAACGGGGAGATATATTGCAAAACAGTTTTCACTGCTTTACGAATTTTCTTGTGGTATGCGTAACCGTCTAAAAAAGTGCAACTACGTCACTTTTTCAAAGCTCTCAACTTTAAAATTTTTAAATATCCATAACCCCATTTTTTCAAATGGCACCCCCAATTTTTCTTCACTGTTGTTTTCTAGGGACTTTAGTACTATATAAAGTCCCTAGGGACTTTAGTACTATAAATTGTGAAGTGCCATCTGTCGACGATTCTCTCTTTAGAGTAACAGAACAGATAAGAAGTCAAATTGAAATTGAAGTGTCATGTGTAAACTAAAGAAAATTTTAAAACGTGTTTAATGATATTAAAAAAATTAAATAAATACATAATCTAAGAGTATGACTCACATACCTCCAAAACTTTGGTAAGATATAAATAACCTTTATGGGCAATTTTAACGCTTGACTAATAAATGAAACTTAAGAAATGCGTTGTTTGTTTGCTCGTCAAGTGCTTACGATTGTATTTACATTAACCTTGTTTATATTTTTATACGTGTTGTTGATCTCACACATATTTTCTTTGTTAAACATTAAAATTCCTCTTTAACCTAAAAATATACTTGGAGCTTTTCTGGAATGTTCCTGCAATAAATAATTACACTTTCACCATATTGGACTTGCTTTATCACTTTGTTTCATTGCAGTGACTCATATCAAGGAGCGTCGTTGTGGGTGCCTCGATGATGGATAGTACAATGTACCAAAAAACTCAAAAAACTTTTCGCTCTACCAACCCATGCATTATGGACTCGATCGATCCGACGGCAGTGTTGGAAAACGCATCTGGTGACAATTTAGTTTTCTCGACCAAGTCTGATAATCCGGTGACATTGGAAACAAAGCTGGAATCTTTAAATATACATGCGGAGAGTTTAAATGAGTCGGTTTCGTTGAGCACAAAATTGCTGGACGAAAATGAGAATTTAAGAATTTCAAGTGCGGAACGATTTCTTACATATCTAAGGATACCTCAGTCAGTTAAGAAGGTGAAAGTTGTGTCCATTTTCGGAAAAACGGGCGATGGTAAATCGTACACTTTGAATAAAAGTTTTTTTGATGGATTGGAAGTGTTTAATACGTCGGCGGAGCAGTCTTCGTGTACTTTAGGCGTGTGGGCTGCTTTTGATCCAAGGCTAAACGTTATTTGCCTCGATACTGAGGGGTTATTGGGAGTTTCGAAGAAGGAAGATCAGAGAACTCGTTTATTACTAAAGGTTCTAGCTGTATCAGATATTGTCATATATAGAATAAAAGCGGAACGTCTACAAAGTGATATGTATACATTTTTGGGGGGCGCCTCTAAAGCATACAAGGATCATTTTCAATCCGCCTTACAGCAAGTATGGGAGAAAGCGGAAGTGGATGCTCCGATGTCCGCGTTAGGACCTAGTATTATTATCTTCCACGAGACAGTGCACACGAACACGTTACACTGTAGTGCTAGTGTTTCCGAATCCCCCGAGGACATTTTACGGGCGACCTTTGCGGATTTACAACTCAAAATTGACTCGTTCAGTTCGTTAAAGTATATTGGAGTTCGAACACAGAATTCCCTTACGTCTTTTAAAGAATTAAAAAATGCTATACAGTTGGAATTAGAAGACACCAAAGTGCGGTCAGCTAGACATCCGAAGATTGTTTATCACACATTAAAGGTAATTACAAACTTTATTTCGCGTTTGTAGTTCATTATGAGTATTAATAAGGTTAAGCTAACATTCTGCCATAGATCAAGTGGTTTATCTGCACACGCTATCTCATTGACAGCTTTAATCTCAAAATAAATATATCGGAAATAATACCAGTAGTCATTGAACTTGATATGTGTTTTTTCCACGAGATAGGCCATGGAAAAAAAATAATTGTAGCATGACTCATGTCGATTACTTCACATTTTAATACTCCAGCATAATACATCTAAGACAATATATTTTGGTGCTCAAAAGTGGTTGGCACTAACCTTGTTATTATTATTCTAGCTACGAAGTTGGTTAAATTCGAGGTTAAATTAGGAAATGTGAAAAAAATTTTGTCACAATGATGGTCGAATCAGAAAAACAATTGCAATTGACTGTTGTGATATAGTAGTTAGGCTTGTTTTAAGTGTTGCAATATTCTAAAAAACGAGAATAAATTTGATTCGGCTCAAAAAAGGTCCAATATATAGGCCCTTTTTCAGTAAATCTCATCATAATTATAGATTGGTAAAAATGATTGGCATTTTAAGACTCCGCTAGAGTGGGTTTATTTCGCACAAATACAGCCGAAAACAGGGTATTTTCATGCTATGGATTGCATATGACAACTCTGTTTTAATTTTACACAAATTCGTCATCGTTTACTTTATTATATTTTCACGAGTATTTTCATGTCAAATAATTCAAAGCGTAGAAAATAAACATTATTAAAAACTCATTGGGTATAAGTGGCGCCCAGCTATAGTGCCTTCACACAGAAAACTAATCTGAAGTGTGTACGGAATCTCAAAAGTACCAATAAAAAAGCTGAAAAACCAAAACAACGCCAAAATGCGCATGGCCATAAGTACAGTGTGTCCTATTTTATTTGAGACTGTGGTGTGTCTCAGCTGGTTTCAAAGATATAGACTTGCGGTTTTCGCGTGCCATTTGTTTCTGAAACTTTTAATACCACAAACTGAAACAGAATCAATCTAGCTACGTTTGCGAGTACGTTTGTTTCTGAGATACAGTGTGAAAATGAAAAGTTTGACTTTTTGGGATGTTATCATATCGTACCCATGTAAGTTAGAAAAAAGGTAAAAATTGCTGATTTTAGATATTTTTACGTAGAATCCAGTGACGTGGTAAACATTTTTTTAGAACACCATTTCTGAGATTTGAATCAAAGTTGGTATTTTTTAAATGCAACACCCTGTATATCTTAACGTTATTTTTTGCATTCTTTTTCCTGATTACGTTGATGTATCACAACCTATATTTTTTTCAATTTTAGCCATGACTTAAATATTAAAACCGTACCTATTACGGTTTTTAAAAGATTTTAAAAGTAGGCCATGGATATATGGTGATTTTTTTTGTATTCGTGACAGCCGATATCAATCAATAAAAATGCCTGAGGGTAGAAACATGTCATTTGTATAAACAAATATTTATTTATTTTTAAGAACAATGTATAATTATAACACACAATTAATTAATTTACACTTTTTCGACCTCTTAGGGCGAGATTGCAAACCGGCTTGCCGATATCTTGTCCCTTTTAAATAGAGTATTGTATTTTAGTGATTATTTTAGTTGGGAAGCTCTCCTTTTTGTTTTATATTCTACTTAATAAATCTCTATTATTATTATTATTATTATTATTATTATTATTTCAAAATTAAAAAAAAATGATACACTATATTACACATATAACAAATATAGGTTGTGATAGATTAGCGTAGTTCGGAAAACGAATGCAAACCATTGACGTTAAGATATATATTTAGGGTGTTGCATTTAAAAAATACCTTGAAAAATACCAACATTGAGTTAAATCTCAGAAACAGTGGTCCAAAAAAATTTGTTGACTACGCCACTGGATTCTATGTAAAAATATCTAGAATCGGCAGTTTGTACCTTTTTTCTATCTTACATGGGTAGTATGGTACAATAACATCCCAAAAAGTCAAACTTTTCGTTTTCACCCTGTATCTCAGAAACAAATGTAGCTATAGATTGATTCTGTTTATGGTATCAAAAGTTTGACAAAAAAGTCAAATTCCGATTGCATCAGTCACCACGCTCTGTCTTCCGAAGACAGTGGCATAACACGGGCGCTTGTTTGTGTTGTATAACTTGCGGAACCGCAATTCAATTCGTTCGCCAAGAAAGTACGCAGATGGCGACTTCGATCCAAACTCAAATCCGCCGCCGCAATGGATGGAGCCAACCACCATCGCAATGAAAAATGCGAGGAAAAGTGAGCAACTGTCGCTTCTTATAACAATTATTTTAAATATGAATGGGGAAACTTTCTTGCCGACAACCGTTGCAGTAACAGCAATTTCTCAAAATGCTCGTCACAATTTTCGAGCAAAAAGGACGACTGGGACGTGACGCGACAAAGAATGTTTAAAAATTAACAACTTAAGGGTCTATCAACGATCCTTGGCAGTCAAACCGCCACATGGTGGTACGGTATTAAGCCAATGGTGTCAACGTGGGAAGAAGCGGTTAAATTTCGCCGCCAAGCTTTCAGATAATTTCCAAAGATCCAGAATGGCAGGAGACATAAGCTGAACATGATCTACTGTCATCCTAATCTCCACATTAGGGTTCGTCTACTACGCGAACAAGTAGAAAATTTCGCGATGCTTATTAATAAGGCTCGTTTCATTGAAGAAAATTTTCTCCTCAAACCCGAATCTTCTGCTACTCCCACTCGGAAAACGACACCTACCGACAAACCAGCAAAGATTCGACCAGAATGCGAATGGTCATCATTTTGGCCATACGAAAGCCGACTATCGGAAATTGGCTAATAGGAAAATACTGCACGACCTCAGACGGCGAAATAAAGAACTAAAGTAATAAGAAATCTATAAATCTCACAGGCAAGTTTGTCGACGAATGCTCACAAACTGAGCTGCTTTGGGTGTGATAATCCCTCTATACTCGGAGCAACTGCCCCACATGGAATATTAGCGACCAAACGTCATCTTCATTGTCTATGATGACTTAATATGGTGAACTTTTCTTCCATGTTTTGTGGATCGGCCTGTCTTGACACAGGTTTAAAAACCAACATCGACGACGCCCAGTTATACACACTTTTATTAACGCTGATACATTGTCCCGCCCTCCGCGTGAAGAAAATTCAGTTATCGATATTTTTTTGTACTACGCTAGTGGATCTTCCAGTGGCAGATGTTAGTAGGGTTAGGGAATTACAATTAGAAGCTCCAATTTTGGCAAAAATTGCAAAGGCTTTAGAGGCTCCTGATGACCTTGCCAATGCCGCTAATTGGCCAGAACACAGATATGTGATGGTTAATGGCATTTTGTTGCGGCACTCTCCCGATAGTGAAGACGAAGAGGTTCAACAGGTCCTTCCGAAGTCGCAAAATATCATGGCCAAATGTATAAGATACAATCGAAAAAGCGAGAACGAAAATGGTGCTGATTAAAATCCATGGAAAGAAATTAGGTAATCCGTGCATTTGCCACCATATGTGTAAGCAAAAGTTTGAGACACAATTTACGATATGTATTTACATCAAGAAGTGGTCACCTATGCAAATTTTCATTATGATTGGCCTACTTTGATAAAATCCAGTATTGCTCAATATTGCATACATTTTTTTTGTTGTGATCATTGGTCCATCTCAATTGCAGATTTGTTTCGTTAAAGTCAAGCTGACATAAAGTTGGCACAGAACGAATTTGAAAATGAAGCTGACACAAAAGGAAACTAATACTGGATTTTATCAAAGTAGGCGAATCATTCTGAAAATTTGCATAACGCATAACTTTTCATTCTAAACAACTTTTCTTTTTTGATACTTTAGAAATGTTACTGTACTGCATTCGCAGAGGCATTTGCACCTCCAGATGCAGTATGGGTCTTATGGACTAAATACCTCTTTTACTAATTTGCGTCATTCTTCGATAACGCTATCCTTGTTCTGACCTCCTTTCATACCAAACTGACATATTGTCCAGTGTTTAAATAAATAAATATAGATAAATTCGTTTAACATTTATTTTGAAGTTTAACATTATAATACCTTCAAGCGAGCCTTCAAGGATGTGAGATTCGAACTCTTTGTTGATTTAATTTCGTCATTTTGCTATTTGATCATGTGTAGTATTTGTTTGCAACATTATGAGCTTAAAAAAAGCAAAGGCCATTCCAAATGTAAAATTATTATGCAAGGTTACATTTGGCAATTTTATGCAAATTATTGTTTTGTATTCCTTGTTCAATGTAAATAATTTAAATTCGTACGCCTCTTTACAATACATATCAATTTCAAAGGCTAACAGTATGTGTAATCGTTGTCTTACTTTATTTTTTTAGAGGAGGGGCGCCTTATATCTATCTTTCTGTAATATATTGTAAAACAACATTTTGTGGTTTTTAGGGCCTTAATGAAAAATACAGTAGCGAGTTAAAAAATTCCCCGTCAGAATTGCATTTGGAGCAGTATTTCACATGTCAAGAAAGATGCCAATCTTGCGACGTACGGTGCGCATTATCTATGGGTCATAAGGAGGCAAGGGAAGCACATTATAGTCCTGGAAGATGTAGATATCAACATCAATACCAAAATTGTGTATATCTTTGTAAAGTCAGTTAGAATTGCTCTCTTACATTGCACAACCTTCATTATGTCTATTTTTAGAAATGTAACATAAATGGTCAAAGAGTGCTTGTTAAACCTAGTTACCAGTCAATTTCGCAAAATTCTTGGTCTAGTTTTATCAATTATGTATGGTCTGGGTATGTGATAGAATGCAAAAATTGTGGCGAGATATATCGTAGCCGTCAACATTGGTATGGTAATAAGGATCCAGAAGATCAGGCTGTTATTACAGAAATTGTCCACATGTGGCCCGGGGTATGTATAAATTATTTTTGAGGCTTACGAGTACCCTATTGTTTTATTAGATAGAGTACTCTTAAGCCTTTAATATTGTGTGGTAGGGACATACGTAAATTTTTAAAGTAGGGCGAATATTTTTTCCAGGAGCGAAATGGTATTACATCACAGAATTCAGCCCAAAGAGTGTTGGATGGAGTAAATATGATATCTGATGCGGTTCGTAGCGTCAGTTCACAGCCAACCAAAGTGGTGACGGCTTGGGTTACCGATAAAATAGCGCCAGCGTATTGGAGACCGAATCATGAAATAATGGTACATTTGCTTTGTTTTTTTCTTGTCACAATGTCACCTACAGGTTTAGATTGCATGAGGAACTTCGGTATCATCAAAAATGGCAATTAGGCTAAATGAATTGCATTATTTTGTGTACTGATTAGGGACACTTTAGAAGTCATTAAAAAAAAACTGAAAACACGATTTAAAAAAAATGAATATCCCTTAGCTATGAGAAGTATACAGTAAATTCTTGATAATTCGAAGTAATTGGGACTGGTGGTACCTCGTATTTCGAAAAACTCAGATTACACCGAAACATTGAAACTCGATCTGTACACAGTAGCAGACAATGCACTGATCTATTTGTAGAACTAGGTCTGCGAGAGTCAAAGGGGCATTGACCTTAAACGCGTTATCTGCTGGCTTGGAGCAGGGATAGGAACCAGAACCGATTGCATAACCCCCTCACTTGAAACAGGAACCATTAGTTATTATTAGTGCCAAAGAACCCGTATTTTTCGGTTCTCTCCCTCTCTTGTGGGTACTCTAAACACGCTGCGCTTTGTAAGAGCGCCCTTTTATACAGGGTGTAGCACCTAAGATCCCTCTGATCATAACTCCTTTACCATAAAAGATACCGAAAAAAGTCTTAGAACAAAATTATACACAATTACCGCCGACATATCTTTAAAATATCACCAGGGGCGTGTTGTACTCCAGTGGTGTATCAAACTTGCATTTTTTAAATGGAACACCATTTCTACCAAAGTACTGTGGAACCAAAACCTATAATTCTAACCCCTGGCTTGGAGTTAGTAGCACAGAACATTGCACACACACTGCGATTACATCAAAATAAAGTAAGGTTTTGAGTTTTCAAGTTTTTTTTTTGTACAAGTGAAGCAACAATAACATGCCTTATCTAGCTATAAACTCCATTTTCCACATGATGCCAACCCACTCCTTTTATTTTTTTTTGCTCCTATTTTTTTAAGTGGGCGGGGTTTCAGCCAAGATGTATTTTTTATGTTCTTTTGTTAAAAAAAATGAGTTCGTATGTCTAATGGTTAATGAAATATTGTCAAAAATCGGCCGCCATTTTCCAAGATGGTGGCCGTAGCACAGCATGCACGAATGTTGAGTTTTGATATGTTGTTACTGGCTCCTAGTACTACGCATATGCAAAGTTTCACCTTTTCGGGAATTATTTCCAGGTACAGGTGTATTTTTACTGAATATGACTGGCCTAATAGAGGATTTACTCGAGCGTTGTAGGGCCTTATTGAACTTAGATCAGATGGGCCAGTCTGCAGGATTTTACGAATGTACAAAAAAAGTCATACGAAAATACTCGAGCGTATCAGATATTGATAGGGTATATGTCCCACGTGTCTCTTATTTTGGAGAATATGCTGGCTTGCATGATGCATGGTGGTGGCTGTACGGAAGAGCAGAAAACGGGCTCTATTCCAGCGCGTCAGATATTTAGAGTACCAAAAGAAGCTACCATTCAAAGTGAAAATCACTGAATATCAAAAATAAAATGCACGGAAAATAGCATGCAACAAAATTATTTCTTTTAATTGTAATGTACAGGGTGGTCCATTTATCTTGAGACAGTATATTATTGCAGAAACTATATCAAAATATGATGTCAAAAAATGATTTATTTTAAACTTTCACAACAATTTATTATAATTAATTTTTACTATTTACTTGCGTAACTAGGCATATCGTCAACTAGCTAGCTATTATACGAGGTGTCACTGTTAAAACTTGCAGTCGGCCATATTTTTCAAAGTAAAGAAGATATTGAAAATTGCGCAAAACCGTTTCGGGGGTATCGAGGGGGAACCAGAATGACGTTATGAGTGATAACCCCCACCCCCCCCTACCCCCCCCCCCTCTTTAAAAATCCTAAATGGCAACCCCATACTTGTGACACATCGTTGGAAAGCTACTGAAAAATGCTTTCCAGTCGTGCCAATAAAGTCAATATTCATTAAAGACAATTTAACAAAAACTTAATAATTAACAAAAAAACTAAATGTTGACATTGAGGAATTTATGGCAAATTGGCCAAGAACTTCAACCTGAGCTGCTTCATTATGCAATCTTGGTTGCTTTCTTTTTTTATTGATAATAGATCCCGTTTCTTCGAATTTAGCGACCAAATCTTGAATATAGGCATGGCTTAATTTTTATTTCTTTTTGTTAAATTGTCTTAATGAATATTGACTTTATTGGTACCACTGGAAAACATTTTTCAGTAACTTTCCAACGATGTGTCACAAGGATGGGGTTGCCATTTAGGATTTTTGAAGAGAGGTGGCTAGAGGGTTAAGGGGGGTGAGGGGTTGTCACTCATAACGTCATTCTGGTTCCTCCTCGATACACCCGAAACGGTTTTGGGCGATTTTGAATATCTTCTTTAGTTTGGAAAATATGGCCGACTGCAAGTTTTAAAATTGACACCCTGTATATTATTGCAAATGTCATATCAATGCCATTATAATAATTTTTTTATAAGTTACTGATCTAAAGTTGTGTGCACCGAAAACGTCACACACAGCGCGTTATTAAGCTCCATCCATTAGCTATAAAAATGAGTAAAGAGAATATTATAAAATTTTTTCCCATTGCTACCATATGTAATTGTGACATTCTATATTTAAAGCAAAATGTATCAGTCACATTTCGATGCTAGCTTTGACAAAAATTGAATAGGTCTTGTGCTTAATATTGACCTAATTCTTATTGAAGAAAGTGCATTAGAATGATTAGATAGGATCTAATTTTCTCTAAAAGTGTTGATTTAGATATTATAGTTTGAGACGCGCAATGAACATGAATTCAAAATCGTTATAGTACGGCTTAAAAGCAAGTATAGTACATTTAACCATTTATTTTTACAGCACTGTCACAAATGCAAAACACCATTTCCTCCGGCATCAGCAAAACATCATTGTAGATCATGCGGTGAAGGTTTCTGTGAAGCGTGCTCCTCTAAGAAACAGCCGGTACCGATGCGAGGCTGGTATACAGACGTTCGCGTTTGTGACGATTGCTACCTGGAAATTCCCCCCAGTCTTTCATTGACTACAGACGATGTGGAGGTACGATTTAGAAAATACGGAGAAGCAGTTGTTAGCTCCATTACTGCGGTCGCTTCAGTTTTGGAAATTCCGAAAGGTCTAATTAAAGATACAGTGCGTCCCGCTTATTGGATGCCTGACAATGAATGCAAAAATTGTATTTGTTGCGGTAATCCTTTTGGTCCTGTGATACCGTTACATCACTGTCGCGATTGCGGGAGAGGAGTTTGTGACGATTGTTCGAACACCCGCAAACCAGTTCCTTACAGAGGATGGGATACTGCTGTAAGAGTTTGTGATATTTGTCTGAAAGAAAATTGATTTTGTATGCATTGAAAATCATCATTTAGGACTGTATAATAATCAGAACGACAAACAATAAAATCTGTATGCTGAATAGTAATTGCATCAAGTTAGGGGCGAATTTAATGAAAGAATGAAGAGCTACAAACAGAAGGCGATATATGAATTTTCTAATACTTTTTATTATTGAAATATTTTGAAAATATTTATACCGCCTCTGCGTACAAATTGTTGATTTGTTTGTTTCATATTAACCACAAGTTTGGAAGATGTTGAAATGTTTGCCACAATGTAATGATCCTTTTTATAACGTTAACTAACATTTTAATACTTTTATAAATACATTTGATTAATTATTTGATATTGTTGAATGAATGATTTTTATCGATGAATGTTAACATATTTCGACATTCCGTTTAGTCAGATATAATGCAATGATTATTGGTACATAGAAATTGTTTGGGATATTTTTTTGTTATTGTGATATCTACACCTGTAAAATACAATTGGACATAGTCTCATGTGGAATAAAAGCATTCTAGTTTTAATTTAACCATTACCATACCTTGGCTCAAGTTATACCATAAAATTAGTGACATCCCCTGATTGCTTCTGATCGCCACTTTTAGGTTTGGTAGAATCTAATACAGAACAGACACCAAATGAACAATCCAGTATTTTTTGCAATTTTTAACAATTTTTTTCTGCTTTTCTCTAAAGAATTTAAGAAGTATATTGGAGCAATAATACGCAGATAGCGCAAACAAACAATAGGGATGGTGAATAATACGGCACCAAATATTGCGATATAGCAATGTCTAATGTCTCACATTAGGTAAATCGAATACTAAAACCGTGACTATTACTTTATATGAAGCAATAATTTGAATGACTATACTAGCAAAAGCAAAATTTTATTCCACAACGAATTGAACGTGATGTTAACTTCAAGAAAACTACGATGCACAAATAACTACATTTCTATACAACAGCAATGTAATCTAATTAATTCAAAATGTAAATAAGATAGTATGAACAAATTTCTTTGGAGTGACACAACCTAACTAAAAATCGTACATATTTCACAATGGATGTTGTGAGGTAGTCTTAGCCAGGTGGAAAATACCGAAAAAATAATCCGGAAGAGAAAACGATAAGAACTTTTGAGGGAGGATGAAGCCCTAAAAAATACGTATTAAGAATGTCGAGCCATAACCCGTACATACATGCCACTTGCCAGCCTTGCACTAATTACGTGCAAATAAATCAACCAAGCGTGAGTCAATGGAGCAGCTACAGCACCTCGGAAATAGAGAGAAACGCCTCAAAGAAATATAGTGAGGGATAGAATTTAAATACAGTGACTGTAGGTAAGTATATATAAAGTCATTGTTAGGGCTGGGCGATTACGGATTTGAATAATCGATTATGAAAAATAATCGATTACACTGATTAATCGATTAATCAAATAATCGATTAATCAAATAATCGTTTAATCAAATAATCGTTTACTCAAATAATCGATTAATCAAATCATCGATTAATCAAATAATCGATTAATCACCTAATCGTTTAATCAAAAGTCGATTGTCACATACAAAGAGTGATAAATATCTGTATGCATTAATACGTTAATTATTTAATAATAAAAATAAAAAATAATTCCATTACTCTTTTCATCAAATCGTTCATTATTAGGCAGATCGATTAATCAATAATCAACAAAGTGTCCCTGGTTCGAATCCGGGTTCGGGCATGGATATTTACAAATGCATAGTGGGTTGGTTGGTAGAACAGCCTTGGCTGAAACCCTGCCCATTTGAAAATGAAGGTCAAAAATAAAAATAAATAAATAAAAATAAATGATTAGGCAGCTTACTCTCAGATGCGGTGTGCTTTAGTTTTGATGATACCTACAATCTTAATTCATTTTAGCTGCTTAAAGTGACGTTTTAACATCTGCTATAAAATAAAATAATACTTGTGAGCTGTGAGTGCTCCATTTTGCGTAAACTGATGATCCAGCTAATAATAATAAATTAAAATTTACTTAATAATTGATTAATCAAACAATCGATTAATCAAATAACCGATTAATCAAACAATCGATTAATCAAATAATCGATTAATTTAATAGAATAATCAAACCCGATTATCGATTATCGTTTGATTATAATCGATTAATCGATTTTTTTGCCCAACGCTAGTCACTGTACATTAAAAATATAACGGATGAGCTCTAGCGGCAAAAATAAAGAACTAAGGTAATAACAAATCTACTACAAAACTAAGTTACATGTTAACACAACGCGTTTACAAAGGAAATACCTAGATGGCGTCAGAATTCAAATGAGTACAGTGGCTGTTGTAAATGAGAATGTTGTGATTCTGTACAAGACAGAGGCGACAATTGAATCCGTCCGCCATGTGGCAAATTCAAACAGAAACCTTGATTATATGATGTGTATAATTATAATGATAAAAGGTGAGAGGTTCCACCCTGTATATACAACTTACGACGATACATGGTAAAAACTAGTCAAAATTGAGCTACGACATCTAATTCCGTGATTGTCTTCGACATTCAACTGTAGGCTCGAAACTCCGAACGAGGGGCGACGCTACCTATCTTGGGGGGCGAGATTACACTAATCAAACCTCTTCAGTTTAGAATGTATGTGCGATAAATGAGTGGCGATTCAATAATTTCTACATTCATGGGTATGTGAAACTCAGGGTAAACTAAAGTCGTGCAAACACCACTCGGAGCGCGTAAAGAGCAGCTTCTATAACAACCACGTAGTACGGGAACCTTTAAATACTCTTCATTATATTCTATATACGTCCACAAATAAGAGTCGGTTTGCTATTTCGGCATTTCTAAGCGACTAATTAAATGACGATTGTTAAATTAAAGGTTGACAGTCACAAATCGTGTCTCATCCGACAGACTCATTTACTCTGAAACCCACAGGCGACGTCCTTGATCATATTTTAGTTGTAGCAATTATAGCAGTCCATGTACTGTAATGGTCTATGATGACATGTCATAAGTTTGCCACAAAATGGCTACCGCGTACCACGTGATTCAGCAACCAATGAAAAATGAGACACCATATTGTTGACCTTTGATTATATACTACTGGTACTAGATAGCGCATTCTTTATGATAGAAGAGTACAACCAGTGTTCCAATTCGTGCAACCCAGATAGCTATAATTTTTCAGTGAAAAGAAATGAGATAAAAGAAAAAGTTGTACCAATTCGAATTGCGCATGCCAGGCGTTAATAAACCGGAAACTAATGGCGCTGTCCGTATAACAACAGCTGATTCTTTGCTTTGCTTCTTTATTTGCTTTATACGTTATTTGGGCTCTACCTTTAATTATTAATCGTGGTAATTCTGCGTAGTTTTTATGTTTGTAAAGAGAATAGTTCATAATATGCAATTAACATGAAGGTAAATGTTCACTCCGAAAATAGATGTAACGATTTCAACAGTCCGACTATTCCCGCGCGAAGTTTATCCCTTAAGCATGCGCATAATGATTTGGTACAAACATAAGTCTATCTCTTTTTTTGGAACATACATTTTAAGTGAATGCGCTGTCCAGTACTTACTATATAATCAAAGTTGTCGACATTGTCTTGTATAGCGTCACTGTAAATGAGAGTATATTTAAATTGTGAGGGAAAAAAGCGCAAAGACTGTATGACACTATGCATTTTCTTGCATCCTTTGTAATGATCCTAGAGACTAGAGAGGTCTCTCAAGCAGACACTGAAAATGTCTCCTTCTCTAAGGAAAATGTTAACTTACAGTTGGCAACTCTGATAAAATCTACAAGCAGAGTCACCTACCTTTCAGCCGACACGACGGACGTTTCGCGATACTTTTGAATCTCGGTAGCATGCGGCCCAATAGGTACAGAGGGTACGAATGAACTCCTACGTTGTGTAATCGGGAAGGGAATTAAATAAAAGACAGGATTTTTGTCCTACCCACTTCCGACGTCCTATTCCCCCTGCGTTTGAAGTTTTAACACCACCAGTAAGATCTTATCGGGAGAAACCACATTCCCTTTGTCGGTACACGCTTCCAACGTCCCGTTCACCCGCAATTTGCATTTGATATTTTGACTTCACCATCAGGAAGATATTGTCGGGGGTAACCATACGTTCCCTTTATCGGTATCCGCTTCTGACGTCCCGTCTATTTCGCTCGCAGAAAACCCTCCACAAAATATAGTACTCAATTTTTGGGGCATTTCTCATAGCTCGAGAGACACGAGGAAAAGAGGCCGCGATTCAATCCTTAAGAAACTTTAAACCGCGTGACAAAATTCGCAGCGGAAGATACCTTTTGGGCGCCCGAAGTTGACTGCCCCTCAAAGACGCGCGCTTTGCAAAAGGTGGCTAAGCAAAAAAAACGAAATTCTGTCACACACATGATAGCTTCCCACAGGCCACATACAGTCTAAATCACAGGTCACGGTACTGTTGATAGCTACCGTTTTCAATAATGATCCATGGGCTTCAATGACATCACAGGCCACTAAAATTCAATGCCACTAATCCAAGTAAAAATGTCTACATAGGCAACACACTATACATTTAAATTATGTGTTGTAAAGTGTTACTCCTCGCTTAGCCGTAAATTTACCGCGTTTCACCTAAAAGATGCAATAGTATTGTTTTTTGAAACGTAAACAAATGATTTTCTTATAGAATAAAACAACTAGAGAAACGATGGACCAAGGGCCGGTTGCACAAACGTTTTGATCTGGCTTTCAAACTTTGACACAAAGCTAAGCTATTGAATAAAAAATTATATTCAATGGAAGCGTAATAGTATTTTACATTATTAGCCAGGTAAGTGAGTTTTTACTGGCGATAGGAGAAATTGACTGGCGAGCCGTCAGGCGAGCCTGTCATCTCCTAGAGCCAGTAAAAACTATTACCTGGCGTATAATGTACAATATTTTATTTGTTACTCATTTGCAAACGTAAATAATTAGTTCTTAAATTAATCTTGAAGAAATGTCTAAAATATCATGTTATCCATGTAACAGAGACTTCGCATTAATTCTGGCC